CCACAGGCCCCTCCCACTTCTTTTTAGGTGCAAGCCCTCCTTCCTGTAGCACTCCTGACATCTGCAGATTGCCCAGGATGGCTCCAGCCAGCAACAAGGCGAGGAGAAATTCAGTACTGTGCATTTTGGAAGCTTTTCATGTACAGGAACTGCGGGAATAGACACGGGGCTTATGCTCACCAGAGTGTAGAGTGTGTTTACAGCTGATTGTGTTCCCATTTCATTTGCAAAGTCCACATCATGTTGCCCTCAAACAACAATTGCCCTCACACAACAGTGGGAATGCTTCCTTTAAGCCGGCAATGCCTGGTACACATCACCTAAAAGCAATTAATGCATTTTTTGTTGTGGAAATACTGGTTTCACTCTCATGCAAATTTAATCATTTGCTTAATTGACTGACAGCACAACCCTACGTTTGTTCAGTATTAAGTCCTATTGAATTCAGTTGAACTTACTCCAAGTTAAATCTGCATAACACTCTAAATATGCATAGGATGCAAGTAGTCATGACTAAATTTCCAGTGAAATAATTTTAGACCCATTAGGCCATACTATCTATATTTAAGCGCTGGCTGTTCTGCACCCCCTTTGTACCCTCTTAGGCTTCCTTGCCTCAGTATTTTGGGCGGTCCTCCCTTGTGAACAATGCGCCCTGCTCCTGCAGTTTTCTTTACAGAAGCTGGCATAGGGAAGTTTAGTAGGTGACACTTTTCTCAGGACCTTATTTCCATGTCAGGAAAGACTTTGGCTGCTTAATGTCTATGTGTGAGGCACAGGAACAGGGTAAGTCAAAGAAACGTAAGTTGACAGTCTCATTTCTTAGAAAGAAGCCTAGGCTTTGCCTAGATGGATCACCTTCCTTCTCCTCCCACGCTGTCCACCAAGTTTGACAGGCTAGTTCCAAGCAACCCAGCACTCTGACCAAAAATGAAAGCTGTCCAAGAAAGTCCTGCTATAATGTTGCAGGACTGGAGAGACCCGGGTTCATGTCCCCACTGGGTGGACCTTGGGCCAGTCACTCTTCCCACTTAATGTACCTCACAGAGTTGTTATGGGGATGTATGCCTCCTTCAACTCAGTGGCGGAAAGGCAGGATATAAGTGTTCAAAACAAGCAAACATTTCTGCTGAGGTAAATTTATGCCTGCACTGTACCACCTCAGAATGTAGCTAAGGGCATTCAGGAATGCTTCTACAATGTCCGTAACAAATAAAACTGGCCGGTTTTATGATGAAGCTACACTAGAATATTCTCCCAGCCATTATATTTTTTTTTAATGGAAAGTTCCCCCTTCCTTGCAATATAGAGAAGCAGTCAATCATGTGAATCTTCACCTGCCCTCTTAACTGGTACACACCAAGCACCTCCTGCCTAATTGAGGGCTAGGCCTAAGGCTCAGCGTGGTATTTCTAGAGGGGGCTTCATTTCCTTTTCTGTCATCTTTCTTGCACACAGAAATGCATCCCTTCCATCCCTATTTGTTGGAGTGAGATTGGTTTAGTCACATTGTCTATCCCAATTCATCCTTGGGCAAGGTGTTTGTGTTCTCTGTAGCCCCATGAATACCACAAGGAGGTTCTAAAGAGAATCAACATGGTGGCACTAATTGGAAAAGCACCCAAGACAGGAAATGAGGAAAGCTTGGTTGTAGAGCCTGCAACAAATCCCTTCACAGGGACTAGGGAAGTCTCCATATTTCCCAAGGGGCCGGGTTCTTGTGCCATTCTCTTTTCCCCTTGCCCTTACCACTGGGGTGGCATCATGCCAGTCATCCCTAGTGGGCATATGACACATCTCTCTGCATTATTTACACCTGCTTTACATTGTCCATGAATTGTTTACCACAGGCTTAAGCCTGGCTTTCTTGTTTTCTGTGGAAACAGATCAAGATCACTGATAGCTGGGGGAGACAGAGCTGCAGGTGTGCCCTATTTATCTATTATTCAGAGCACAAATGCAAAAGAGCCAGATGGTCCAGTCAGAATGGGTTCCACTCCCAAAGGCTAATGTATAGGTTAAACCAGGTGCCCATTGCTCTCTCCCTCCCAGAGGCAAGTGCTCATCTGTTAGCAGCAGCAGCAGCAGCAGCAGCAGCAGCAGCAGCAGCAGCAGTTTCTTGGTAAAGAAAATAGGTTTCCATGTTTGAAAGATTCGGAACACTGCAAAAGCCAGCAAACCTGTCTACCAGAGGCGCTGCTGGAAAGAAGCCTGGCATTGTTCCTCTGCCACATTGCCTTCAATACTTTGGGGGTGGGGTTTCCAGTCTAGCACTCCCATAATCTTGCTCTCCCCTCCTTTTCGTCCTTCAGAAGCAATCACAACAAACACATCAGCAGAAAAGATTTTATTATTTTCCCCAAAGAAAAAAGAGCAATATAAATATTAGAGTATAAAACTTGCGTGTAACACATTGACGTCAGTCTATATGGATATAAGAAGGATATAAGCATATATATAATATATAAGTATAGTTCAATATTAGACACATTGAAAGGACAGTAAGTGTGTTTCAATTCACATACATTTAAAAGCACAAAGAGCACATGTAAAGAAGATACAAAGGAATAAAAAAAATACTGATGTCCACAACTCAATTACTAAGATTAAAAAAGAAGAAAGAAACCTACACATCACTAGGTTTTCAGCACTACTACACTACTTTCAGCTTATTGATTAAAAGGAAAAAGAGGATGACTAAGATTAATCTACAGTACTTTGAGAAGAGTCACATAATAACTACTTCAGTACATAATAAGCCCCAGGCCCAATCCTGTGGGGAAGCTCACCTGCATCAGCCCCGTTAAGATGGAGAGAGGCTGCAGGACAGAATTGCCATGCACTTGTGTGGCTTCTGGTGATTCCAGCCGAGCTTGTGCAGGAGAACTTCCCAATGGATTGCGCTCTGTTTTAACTAACTATGTAAACTGTTTCTAGTGCAGTCACCAAACACAAGGGGTGGGTGGGTGACTGGGATCAGTACAAAAATCATACGTCGACTGAAGTTTCTTCCCACAGACAAATCCCGCTTTCTAGACACACAGGAGGCAGCAGATACGCTCTGGCAGTGCAAGACTACACAGCCAATGAGAGTGGTCCGCGATGTTTTGAAAAGTCGTCAGATGTTTAACCTGAGGTGATCATAGAAGGCCAGACCATCTCAGACAAGCTCCTTATCAAAGGTTTAAGAAAGAGTAATATATTTCTGGCCTAGTGATTAGCCCTCCATGTTGGAAATATGCTGCTTCTCTGCCCTCGGCTGGTCAGTGCCTCTATAGAAAGGCAACCTGAGTTTGCCAGCAGCAGGCCGAAGCTCCCTGCTAGTCTGTGCTGCGCTTGAGCGAGGAAAGAGATGAGAACACAAGCCGATAAAATGCACAGGGAGCGGGAAACGCTCACTTCCTCTCCATACTAGGCTATGAAACAATGTGGCTAAAAACCCTAAAACAAGTCATTTCGAAACACAGCGAAGGGATTTATGACTATTCACTTTAAATCCAGTGGATTTATATCCAAGTGGGGGTGATAGCAGAGGTCCAAAGGACCTTCAGTGCACCAATGGTTACTCACTTCTCTAACGTTCAGAACTTGGCCTTGGGGGCTTGGTATCAGAAATCCCTGCCCAGCTCCAGCTCTGGCATCCCTGATCTGTGCCTGGCCCCATGCGTCCTCAGACCAATTGTTGTTCGCTTAATATCAGCATGTGAAGAAGGCCAGCAAACCAAGGGCCTTCCTTAGCTGTGCTTGCCTAGGCGTGTGGAAACTTCCCTACTGCTCTGATCCAGGGCAATGCATCTTGTTACTGAACTCTACTCACAGACAGACAATGCTCATGTTCCACCAGGATGTGGGCACTTCACAGCATATTTACATCATGCTGTATATGGCATGCAATGACTTCTCTATTCTAGGTTGGGAGGCGGCAGCTGGCCTACCGTAGATGTGAAGTGAATGTTTTGCATGCAGCTCGATGTGCAGAAAATATGAAGCATTCCATTTTTGTTTTAATTCTCTACCTACAAGGCCACCAGAGCCCATTCACTGACAGAAGGCGTCTGCCTGTGGAACTAACAGAGCTATTTCAGTGCTTAAAGAGGAGCAGCAGCTCACTATACTCACAAGCGATTGACTTTGACTTCCTTAAACTTATTCCAGAAAACAATTACTGTACACATAAATATTTATGGATCAAAGTGTAGATGAGATGTGTTGTCTCTTCAGAGGCCACTGTAAATCAATCAACACAGGCAAAATTCCCCATCTTCCTACCATGTGAGGCATTCTCTGCCTCTGGGAGGCTTCCCATAGCAATGTGTTTGTGCGCCTTGCCTCTTAGGTATAACCATTTCAGTTTTATTTTTTCAACCATCATTGGTTAACTTTTAAAAATGCTGCTGAAACTCATTCCCTTCTAATAATGCAGGATGGACACTGTTTTAAAATAAAAAAGCAGAAACTAAAGCATCCCCTCATCAATTTCATAACAAGGATTCCAACCGAGATATTTTTGTGGGGACAGAAAGCATTCATCAAAATTTGGGGGACGTGAGAATGTTCTTTTAAATGGAAAAATGTATAAATCAAAACCCCTGTTTAGAAGAATTATTTACAATGGACAGGGCCCACCCTAAGCCTTGTATGTTGTGCAGATCCCTCTGGAGCAAAGCAATGGGAGAGAAAAATATTCCAAAGATCTGACACCCTTGCATATTAGATCATCCGCATGAGAGTATAAGCTATAATTCATCACTATCCACAGGGCTTTTTTTGTTTTGTTTTGTTTCCAGATACTTTTACATCAGGAGGACTAACAGTAGGAGACTTTCTCCTAGCTCTGATGACAGCAATGTACATTCGCAATGTTCCACACTTTTTTATTTTTAAAAAATGGTTAACCACAAATTCACATTCATCCTCCATCCTAGGCTATGAATTGGGGGAATGCTGGAAGAGTCTGCCCTTTAGATCTAAGGTGGCAGCGATGTGTCATCCTGCGAATCTTACTTCTTCTCCTTCTTCCCTGACTTCTTCTTGTTTCCACCTCCGGAGGCTGCAGGTTTCCCATCCCGCTTGGCTGCAGAATTGGAGAGAGTGGCTGTGCTGCCAGGGATGTACACGTTCTGTCTGTAGTCAGGGACGTGCTGCAGGGTGAACTGGGGGCCATACCTGGTGCTGAGGCCCATTGTGCCTGCTGCTGTTGCTCCTCCTCCCAGAGTAGAATTTCCATCAGGATTTGCAGCGGCGGCGGCAGCGGCTTCTACACCACCACAGGGAGGGGGATTGAGAGAAGGAGATTGGAAGGAGGAGAAAAGTCAGAAGGGCGAATTCTTAGCATAGTCGTTGCTAGATGTAAATGTATAATTTAGGGTCTCCACTACACATCATCTAGGGAAGATGCACTCAGCCCACCTCCCCACCCCCAGAATTCTTATGAACAGCAAGCTCTTTGGCATGTGCACAAGGCTTGGGAGTGATAAGGCAGAGAGCTCTGGTTTGAAGAAGTGGAATCCTGCAGTCCGGCAAAAATAAATCCCTGCTTTTCCCTGAAGCCCAGAGTATCCGAGTGGAGAGGAAGGGAAAACTCTAGGCAAGAACAAATAGAGGCTTGCTAGCACACTCAGAGCTGTTAGGAGCAATCCTACTATGCCCTTGTTGCATGCCTGGGCTGCTTGGGAAAAAGGTGGGTGTTATACCCTCATCCCAAAAAGGCTGTGTGCTTTTTGCAGGGAGCCTCATGGCCAGGGAGCCACATGGGTGCTGTGTTGTGTGTCTTCTGTGACCTCTCATTTGTATGCCTTGCATTGTAATCGGCTGTATTACAGCAGCAGTGGTGCGTGTGTGCAGGCGTGTGGGTTAGGGGTGTGTCCCTGTAATTTTTGCACTATAGACTTAAGTTTTCCATTTTTTAACAGTTGGCTTTAATGAGAGATAAACACTCCTTTTACAGTAAACAATGACATATTTGTATTTTATAAAATACAAATGCTTCTACTTATTTTAGATTCACTGAAGATGAGCCATCTGTGGCCTGAAACTCAGCTTTTGTTGATGATGAATACATTTGCCTGTATACCCTTCTATGGACTTCTTTGTGCCGTGCTTATTTCTGGAGCTTCCTTTTCATTTGACTTCCCAAAATATGAAGAATCTATGAAAATACTGAATGTGTAACAACAATAGAGCAAGGAGGAACAGGAAGAGGTATTAAAATTGTGCCAATGGACTTAACTATTTTGATTTTGGCTAGAGGAGAGACATTCTGTCCAGGAGTTAGCAGTTATGAATGGGTTTTTAATAATGGGTTTTAAATAGTGCTTTTTTCTGGGGGGATGCAGGGGTACACATACCCCTAAACATGTTGTGTTTTTAAAACGGCAAAGGACAATCTGTCTTCTCCGCTGTCTTATCTCTTCTTAGTGACCTACCAACCCACTTCTGTGCTGTAATTTGACTGAGGAACTCGAATGAGAAAAGACCGTCCAATTGAGCTGCCCTGGTAAAGCTTTTCTGCCCTCTGGCATGAGATGGGCTTTGATTATTATGCACAGCAGGCTCCTCAAATGAAAAATAGCAGCCGGGTGCCAGAATAACATCCAAGTGCATGGAATGGCAGACTCTAGTTTTGTATGGTCTTTGGTTAATTTATTTATTAAGTCAAACGTCAGTTGCCCCACGCAGAAGATTAAATTTATAAAGAAAGAGAGCACATATACTTTAACTGTTAAAAAATATTGAGTGATCAGTCTGTACCAATCGCACGACTGAACCCCTCTCTGCCCTCTTGCTTAAGAACATGAGAAGTGCTTTGCTGTACCAGATCAAGACCCATGTAAGTCCAGCAACTACCAGGCAACAGAGGGTCTGCAGTAACTCTGCCAGTCACTCACCATTCGCCTTCTGCCTAGCCTTGCTCTAGCTCTGAGGTGGGCAGAAGGTATGTCAAGATCTACTGGCAGACCTCTGGGTTATTTGCAGTAGATTGTCTGGGGAGGGTTCCTGACTCCCAATTGTTTAATAAGCAGCTGTTGTTTTCTTTCTCAATTTGGCTGCGAAGGGGAAGAATGTTTAGGTAGAGCAGGACCCAGAGTAGATTTTTCTGTGACAGTGAGCTCAGTTCTGGTACGAAAAAAATAATAATACTCCTGAGATGACCATGCTAAGAGAGGCTCTATTTCTTAATTCTATGTAGCTCCTTTCCGTAAATCCCTGTTGCGCCTGGCTTCAGTTGGTGGACCTCGGGTATGGATGGAGTCTTGATTTTCAATATGCACAGGTCTCCCCCCCCCCCAATTTCTTGTTTCCCTCCTTAATCTCAATGGGAAACCAGCTTCCCCCACAGTTCTGCTTAAAAATATTAGCTATTATTGTATCTTATATGCATATTATGCACATATACACTCCAGCTTTCTAATAAGCTGCATTTGGCCTCAACATTATGTTTCACCAGTGTTCCAAAAAAAAAAAAAAAAATGCCCCTAAAAATATGCAAACCTTTTCAGAAATGTGCTGAGAATCAATCATCACAATAAACTTTTATGGGGCACCTTGAAAACTTAACTTTCTTTTGTTTTCTTGTTTGCAGCGTCTTAGCTTCTTGTTCTGGTTTTTACGCTGACTGCTTTCTATACTCCTACAGTTGCAGATCTTTTTTCATAGAACAGTTTGATTTGAAGGGAAAGCACCTGTGAGAGGCTAAAATCTTGAGAGGACCACAGGCAGGGTCCCAAGGGGAAAGGGGCTGCCTAATCCTTTACTCAAGCTGCCTTCCTCCCCTATTGGGAGCAAGTCGTGGCCTCTCTTCCTCCTGTGGCTCCCTGTGGGGAGAAACAGCCTGAGAAGCTGTGGAGCAGAAGACTAGGGAAGCGATTTAGAGCAGATGAAAAGGTTAAGAAGTCCTCCTCCTCCTCCTCCTCCTCCTCCTCCTCCTTCTCCCAGGTAGACTCTGATTTATTTCATGCTCACATTGACCTGAATTTTTGTGTCTCACCCCTTATGGCCAACAGGAGGCTAGGAAAGCAAATCTTAGAACAGGCAAAAAATAAATGAGCTTGTGTCTCTGCTTGTTTCCAAAACAGAACCTGCCCAGAGAGCTCAAGGGCTTATCACTGGCGCTATGGACACTTATGTCTGTTGCCTGAGCTTTGACCACCACAAATGCTCGGACCTTTATTTAACAGCAGACAGTTCAGTTCAGGGAGACCTGCTGGGGCCTGCAGACAGGTGGTGTCTAAAAATCCAGGCAACAACATTCCACCAGGCAGTTTCCTTTTATCACAGAATGCAAGTCTCCTATGTGCACAGAAGCCAGGTTCGCTCCCATCTGCCCCATGCAATCTTAGCTCATCTGCTTACATCCTCTTAAAGCTCTCTTTTTTTTCTTTAACCAACCAAATAAATAATCTATCTCTAAAATATCTACTCAGGATGTAAAAATTAGGCCCTTTGGAATTTCTAATTTTCTACGGTGCTTTAATTCTAATCTGTGCTGTACTTCCCTATTTGCCTGCCTTAGGATATGGACCCAGAGGGTTTCTCTTTGATGCTTCAAAAGAACTCGTTTTTAAAAATAATTGAAGAGATTCCTAGGCTCTTCAGAACCTTTGCAAATAATAGTTTCTCACAGAGCTCTCTCTCTCTCAACAACCATGCTAATGGATGAGGAAGAGACTTACTAAAAAGAGAAACATGGATTGACCATTTCATTGTGCTTCATTAAACATGCAATCTATGAATGACCTCTGAATATGGCTAATGGTGGATGTCACCCCAGTCTCTGTAGTTAAGCACAGTTTTTCCAAGTGACCATAGAAAGTGTTTAGAACAAGGCTTCTCAAACTTTTTGTACCCAGGACCGCCTTGAGATGGCTGAAAATTACTGAGGCCCACCAGTCACAAAATGGCAGTACAGGCAGAGCCAGTCACAATGTGGTGGCAGATGAAGGCAAAGATTGATATTTTCTACTGATATCTTATCCATCTTTGGAAACTGCTAGATTCTTTACCAAAGCCCTTTCCTTGTGGCAAGATGCTTCAAAACTCAGCTCTACTCAGGCTAAGGACTGACACTGGAGGTATTATGACTCAACCTCCCCATTTTAGGTAGAATTTGCTGATCCAGAGGTTCTAGGTGGAGAAGGCTTTGCTTTTATATATTTTCCTTCCCACCCATCTCCTCTAATTTCATCTCCCATTCTCCTTTCACAGACAACTTGCAACTTAACTCTCCCCTCTTCCCTTGCCAGTTTCTTTCCTTTTTCCTCCTTTCTATTCCCAGTTATCTTGCTTTCTAATTTCATTCAACACCTCCTCTAGCCTTTTCCCTTCAGAGGAAGGAAACCTTCTCCTCTCCTCCCCCTCTCCAATTTCTTTGTCTCCTGGTTACCTTTACTCAGCACAAATGGAGGTGTTGGTCCAGCCCAAAGGCTGTGGCATGGCTAGGGGCCAGGGCAGACTGTGGCAATGAGGCCCCCTGAAGGTGGCCCAAGGGCCACTGTGTGACAAACACTGGCTTAGAAGATGGTGGGATCCTGCACAACGCTTGTAAGGAAAGGGTGATAGCCAACATTAGTCATTCTCAGATTAGACTCAGTGAAATCAGTGGATTAACTAGGTCTATTGATTTTAATGGATCTACCCTGTCTTAGCTGGATATCATCCACAGTACATTAGTTTTCTTAGGATAAACAAAAATGCTACTTTTGAGTGCAGGGAATGTTTAGATTAGTCTCCGTTGGGTGCAAAACAGATTTCAGGTTGCACCAACAGCTACTGGGACAAGAAAACAACCATAGCTGCCCCCCCCCATATTTTGTAAATATAAAATGTAGCAGCCACTTCATATTTTTGTATTTTCAAAATACAGTGGTACCTCGGGTTACATATGCTTCAGGTTATATACACTTCAGGTTACAGTCTCTGCTAACCCAGAAATAGTACCTCGGGTTAAGAACTTTGCTTCAAGATGAGAACAGAAATTGCGCAGCGGCAGCAGCAGGAAGCCCCATTAGCTAAAGTGGTGCTTCAGGTTAAGAACAGACCTCCGGAATGAATTAAGTACTTAACCCAAGTTACCACTGTATGGGGGAAACAACCATTTTTGTTTATTTGTTTTTTGAATGCTCCGCTGCCAAAACCTCCCTGCACATAGATAGGTAGCTCACAGCACCGTCACATTTTTTTGAAGGATAAGGTGAAAATAAAAAATTGATCTGCGTTTGTAGCTGAGTCAAATATAAACAGCTGCATTTTAATCAGCATTGTCAATATTTCAATGCAGTTTCATTTGAAACTAATAGATTAACCCCATGGCCTCAAAAGATAAAAATACAGACCCTATTCTCACACCATGGACTGAATGGCTGTTCACATCCACTATTCAGTATTGGCGTTACGTTGGGCTAAAACTGCGCAACAAAAATAGCTTTCCTTTGAAAAAAACAACATCCCAACATTACAGACCGTTTTATTAGACAAATGCATCTGCTTGTAGTTACTGCAGAATAGCTGCAACTCAAATACATTTGGAAGCATTTGGATAGTCATCAGTCGCTTGGCAGAGATGTGATCTCCAGAGCCTTTGGTGGGGGGAGCTAAAGCGAGCAGCAAATCCAGTGAATGTATAGACACAGTAACCTATTTTTTAAAAGCCACGCTCCCTGGACTACAAACTCAGGGCAGTGATTTAGGGCTTTCTTTTGTGTTGCACTTTCCAGGCATATGTCCGCACTCCAAAGCTCCGTAGCCAAGCAGCGTTTGGTTTTGTTTTTTGTCCTGGCGCTTTCCCTGGGGAAAACCCACGTTTTACCACTGAATCAGATTAAATGTCAATCCATAGAAACTCCAAATGCCTTTTGCTCTGATTCAGTGGTGAAGAGCAGGTTTCCGTGGGGTAAGCACCAGGACCCAAAACAAAACAAAACTGCTTGGACACAGAGCTTTGAAGCCCAGACCTGTGCCTAGAAGCACAGCACCAAATAAAGTCTGGATGAACCCTGACTGTGAAGAGGGACTTGGCAAACAGGGCCTGTTGGAGCAGACGTTAACCACTATCCGTGTTGATTTGCAGAGGCTACAGCTAAGACAAGAGGGGAATGCTTAATAAACCCCTCCCACCTCCATTTGGCAAAAATAATGGGGGAAATCTGCTTAAATGGCCATTAGAAAGCACTGACGTGAACAGCAGGATTGCTTGAAAGCATCTCGCTTGCTTGTGTGCTTTGCTGAACTAAGCCCATTATGTGGCTTGGGAGAGAGGTTCCGCAAATAGCAGGCACCGAAATCTCTTAAATGTGTGTGCTGCACAGGCAGCTAGAGCCTGCCTTTCCCCCCAGGAACTGCTACAGCTTCTCTGTTTCCCTTTCTACCAGATCCCCTTTGTAGATCCAGAGTGGGCTCTCTCTGGTAGAAAACAGGTGGCCCGCCTGGGAGATCTGTCCAGCCTTGCCAGGGCGCTCCCCGTTTGGTCCCAGCAAAGCATTGGTCCTGCTCTTTGCCTCCTGACATGCAGGTCCTTTACCTCCATCCTCTCTAAGGTGCCAAAGGAAGAGAGGCTTTGGCAGTGTTCTTTCCTTACACAACTTACTCCTCATTGTCTGTGTCTGGACTTGCCCACAGAACAAGCAGCTGCTAGATCACTTCCTCCTGACTGGTCTCACTGGGTGGGAGGGAGCTAAAGAGACCTTTGGGTGCCTTGGCTGCCGTGGGAGTTGGCTCCATGGGCAGAGGCACTGCTGCTGGCCCTATGAGCATGGGGAAAGTGGATTAACAGCTAAATAATGCTCCGTGTGGACAAACCACTTGGAGATGTCAGCTCAGCAAGGATAAATGTGATGATTAGCTAGCCGTGTTTACCCCCAGGCAAGATATCACATCTAAAACTTGCAAGCATGCTGCAATTCTGCACATTTCCTTGACAGTAAGTCCCACTGAGGTCAGCCTCTGAATAACCTGATCCAGAAAACACATTGTCTTCAGAAGGATTAGTTTTATGTGCATTTTGCAATTTTAACTACGCAATTAAATAAGCAATTGTCAGGGATTTCAACATTCAGATAACAGCCAGTTTGTGAAGTGATTACCTAATTTTGTGGTGTTTTGGATCCAGTGTGGATGGGAATGTGCTGCATTTACAGAATGGAATGCTTGTGGATTGTTGTTTGTCCCCATGGAGCCTCCAAAGTGGGGTTCCACAGGGGTCAGTTGTATCCCCTGTGCAATTTAGCATCTACATGAAACCTCTGAGTAAGGTCCCTTTGCATTTTGGAGTGCAGTGCTAGCACTGTGCTGATGATATGCAGCTCTGTTGCCCTCTTTGCAGCAGGAGTTGTGATGGATATGCTAGACAAGTGCCTAGCACTGATAAATGGATTAGATGGGAGCCATCAACCTTGATTTAGATAAGACTGTGGTGCTGTTACTGGGTGCTTCACTAAACCGGATGGCTGGGGTTCAGCCTGTTCTGCATGGGGTTAACACTCCTCCTGAAGGAGCAGGTACACAGTTTGGGGCTACTTCTGGATCTCTTAGTGTCACTTGAGGCACAAGTGATAACCTCTGGACAGTGATAACTTCTGTTATCCACACTCTGGTAACCTCTAAATTAGATTAATGTGTTACGCACAGAGCTGCCTTTGAAGATGGTTTGGAAACTGCAGCTAGTTCAGAAGCTGGCAGGCAGATTGCTGATTGGGATAAGGCAATCTGAGTATATAACACCAATTCTGGCCTGCAGGGGCTGCCAATTGGTCTCTGGGCTCAATTCAAAGTGCTGGTTTTTACTAACACAGCCATATTGAAATTTCTGTTTTAAGACCACCTTTTCTGTGATGTATCTGAGGGGTGGTCTTAGGTTGCACCCCTAACGTGATGTATGTATGATGTTTCTGGGGGTGGTCTTGATCTACAGGATGGGAATTTCAAAAGTCTTTATAAGCCCTTGCACAGCATTTTTCTGGGTCCTCCTCCTTTCCTGCATGTGAGGGGAGCACCCTGTTGCAACAGATCAATAAAGATCAAGCTTACTAGCTGCTTTGCTTCTCAATATTCTCTGGTTGGCCGCTGTTATTTTCTCCTACCAATAGGAAACCTATGTAAGGACTCTATATGGGCTCTTGGGTACCCCATAAGGGAAAAGGGCATATTTTTGTTTACAACAGGACCCCAATACCTCAAGAACCACCACTCCTCATGTGACCCCACATAAATCTCAACAGAGGTCCTTCTTGGTGTGCCTTCTCTGAGGGAGGTGTGGAGGGTGACGGCTCCCCGTTTGTGAAATGCACCTGGGAAGTTCACCAGGTACCACTGCTGTTTGCTTTTAGGCACCAGACTAAAACCTATTTGTTTACCCAGGGCTGTGACTATTAATTGGGAGGGTAGTAAGTGATGCTTTCATATTCATAGGTCAGCATGCTAAGGTATTGTACAGTGGTACCTCTGGATGCGAACGGGTTCCGTTCCGGAGCCCCGTTTGCATCCTGAAGCGAACGCAACCTGTGTCCGTGCGTCTTGCGATTCGCCACTTCTGCACATGCGCATGACGTCATTGTGAGCGTCTGCAAATGCGCGAGCAGCGAAACTCGGAAGTAACACACTCCATCACTTTGGGTCGCCGCGGAGCGCAACCCGAAAAGGCTTAACCTGAAGCGACTTCAACCCGAGGTATGACTGTATTTTATACAGAGTTTTAATGTCTTATCCAGTTAAGTTGCTTTGGGACAGTCTTCTGTGTTAGAAAAGTGACAAATAAACATTAACAACAATAAAATAAATTGTGAGACTTTTGTCTGAGATTCTCTTTATAAAGTTAAACTCTGGCTTGTCTGCCACTGCTCATCAGGCAATCTGCAATTTGTGGGGCAGCTTCTGACTTCCTGGTCCCTGGAACTGTGCAGAAGACAGCTCAAAAGCAATCCTTTAATTCGCAAAGCAAGGAAATTGGATCTGGATTTGCTGAGAGACAGTGGTGAACATATGGACCCCCTAAAGCTATTTTTACCAAGACACATTTCAGAGCTGAACTGAACTTCCGCATTCTAACCCTCTCTGTTTTAAAATGTAAATGCTTTAATTCCAAAGTTGCGTGTCAGTGTCCTAAACCAGCCTGAGCAACTGTTAACCAGGACTGTTTAAGATGTGTAGGCAGCTATGTGAACAATATTTGGGAACCCGCCTCCAGCTATTTTTATGTTGAGCTTTTTTTTAAAAGAAAAAAATCCTGTATACAAACATTAATTGACTAAGAGATTAGAGTTATTCTAAGAACAAAGAAGCCCTTTAATCTACAAAGAGTTGCAAACCAGCCAGCTGCCCATTTGCCATGGAATTCTGTATGGTGATAAATAGCGGCACAGCTATTCAGGAAGCATGCAAACCTTGGCTCTCTTGCCATAACCCTGAAGCTGTTTTAGTACAAGCTTTCTGCATAAACTTTTACAGGCATGTACATTAAATATCCTCCACACCCCCCCCCTCCGCTCACTCCCAGCACAGCTGAAAGTAATAACATTAGTGAACATGTTAGCTGCAACTGACCATTTGCTGATGCAAGAATCATGGCTTGAAGCATTTCTGTATCAAACTGGTTGTTTGGCCAAGTCCCATTCTCATCCCCATTCTGAGACCTAAGGAGAAAGCAAAGCAAAGGAAACATTAAAAAGAGGCAGAGTAGACACAGTGCTAACAATCTAAGGGATCACTTCCTCCACAAAGCACACACAGCACAGTTTATTCTTAATATTGGTTTTTGGGGGGGTGGGGGGGGTGGGGGGAGAAAGCACAAGGTACAAGGGAGGTATCCTTTTTTGAGGGACTAATTTCTTCATGGGTGTACTCTTAACTGGGAACCTACTGCAAAGCAAACCTACTGTCCCTTTAAAAGTTGTGCAAGAGTGCTTGTTATGCAAGGAAAAGAAAAAAACTTTTCCTACAGACATTCTCTCTGGTACACAACAGTGTCTTATGGCACATTAAAACAGATTTATTGTGACATTAGCTTTTGTGGACTAGAGCCTACTTTGGCAGATGCATGAAGTTTTCTCCTCAGTATTTCATGCAACTCATGATTCACAAAGCACATACCACAATAATGACAAAAACATCTGTTATTTTTGCTGCTCACAGGTCTACCCCTCTGGAATTTACTGTTATTGGAGCCCCAATCCCCAATAACTGGGCATGCTGTTTAGCAGGGCATTCTGCCCGTTTAGTGTACTTAGGATACTGACAATAACTTGCTGAACACAGTTAAGAAGCTCAACACATAAGTTACACATTATGTTGTCATACCCTCTAAAATTTCTCCGATGAGAACAGGGACGTTCCATTCCATAATGATAATTTTACTATTTATACCCCACACATCTTACAGGGTTGCCTCAGGCACTCTGGGCAGCTTCCAACATATATAAAAACATAATAAAACATGAAACATTAAAAAAAACTTCCCTAAACAGGATTGCCTTCAGATGGCTCAGGGGTCAGATAACTCTACAACCTCCAACATTTCTCCAATGAAAATAGCGACATTCTAAGGGAAAGTGGGACATTCTGGGATCAAATGAGAAATATGGATGGGGTCTCTAAATCAGGGACATCCCTGGAAAATAGGGACAATTGGAGAGTCTGTAATGCATTTGTGCCTGAGTATGTGCCTCTGTATCCTGACAATAAGTAATGGTAGATTCTTACTCCTCTCTTCTGAAACTGTGAGCCAGGAGTTTCATGTCAGGGTGCAAGGATCCAGGTGGATTAGGAGACCCACTGTTTCTCTCTCATTCTTGAAAAGCCGTGTTTCATATATATTTCATTTTTTAACAATAAGTGGCACAATGCCACGGGAAAATAAAACTCTCCCCCCCTTCTATCAAGTCACATCCATGAAGGGGTGCAATCAAAGGCTTTTGGACCCACAAAGCTCTATTTGCTGCTTACATTAAAACAAAAGGCGGTATGGGAGACGGGGAAATTGGCAGCACTTTCTACCAAATCAAGATGCCAAAGCAGATCCCTTCAGCTGCAGAACCACTTCACACTGCCTGTAAAACTGTTACTTGAGCTGTTGACTCAGCTAATTCTAATATCCTGGTGTCTACTTCTTGCATTGATTTATAGTCTGACCTTATTTGTATACTTACAAGCAGGTCCCACTGATTCAAAGTAATCAGAACTTACTTCCAAATAAGTGCAGCTGTAGGGACAACCATGCAACTCCATCACTGCTTGGCCTTCAATGTTTTCCCAATGTCCGCAATATACTCTAAAATACTTTTAAAAAAGTAATCACTGGGCACTTACTAAGAATACAATCCACCATGGTGACTGAGGCCAGTTCATTTCCCAAACCCAGACTGGAATGGGTCCAGATAATCTGCTTCTTCCAATAGTACCTGGAGTTGAGCTGCCACTAGCTTCTCTAGAACCTTCACCTAAAACAGGGTGTTTGTGACAAAGCAGTATTGTCAAAAACTCTGGGTCCAGGGTAGGATCCTTCAAGAATGGGCACACTACTGCCCTTTAGATATTTCATAGAATCATAGAGTTGGAAGGGACTCAAGGGGCATCTAGTCCAATTCCCTACAATGCAGCAGGAATCTCAGCTAAAACATCCATGACAGATTGCCATCCAAACTCTACTTAAAACCCTCCAAGGAAGGAGAGTCCACAACCTCCCGAGGGAGATTTGAAAATGGCTAACCTTTCTCCTCTCAGTCTCCTCTTCTCTAGGCTAAACATACCCAACTCTCTCAACCATTCCTCATAAGGCTTGGTTTCCAGACCCTTATAATTTCCAGGCCATTATAATTCCTATCTACAAAAAAGGCCCGCCCGGTGACCCAGGGAATTACCGGATTATCAGTCTGCTATCGTCCATTGGGAAAATATATGCCCGTTTTTTGCTGGCAAGGCTGATGAAGTGGTCAGCTGAGGCTGACCTGATTGGGCATGAGCAAGCTGGATTTAGATTAAATCGATCCACAACAGATCAGGCAATTATTCTTTATCACCTAGCCCGGAAATACTCGACACCTCGACGGGGCCAACTTTGCGCAGCCTTCATAGATTTGAAAGCTGCGTTTGATAGTATTCCGAGGCAATTACTATGGGATAAACTTGCCTGCTGGGGAATAGATAGAAGGCTCCTGTGGCTTATCTCCCAACTTCATGCCGGGTCCGTGGCCAGGGTAAGAATATCCCCAGCTGGAGACCTAACTAACCCAGTGCCAGTAAATAAGGGTGTACGCCAGGGTTGTATTTTAGCGCCTCTTCTTTTTAACTTATTTATCAGTGATATGAGGAACCCATTAATCGACTCACAAAAATTTATCCACTCCCCCCGTATAGCAGATTATCGTTGTCCTTTACTTCTCTACGCAGATGATGCGGTACTACTCTCTTACTCCAGAGTGGGTTTAAGGAGGGCACTAAAGATTTTTGCATCATATTGCCATTCTAATCATCTGTCTATCAACCACACTAAGTCCAAAGTTCTGATATTTTCAAGGAGTCGAAAATTATATTCATGGAAATTGGAGGGCACGAAAATCGAACAAGTACATAAATTTAAATATTTAGGAATTTATTTTCAATATAATTTAGGGTGGAAAGCGCACGTTGAATATCTTCAAAACAAGACAAAAGCCCTATCACACTCCCTCCTCCGTTTTTTCTACTCTGAGGGGGCCTTATTCATCCCTGCGGCCTTGAAAGTGTATAGCATCAAAGTGATGGCCACAATGGCCTATGCTGCACCTTTATGGGCTGCCTTTGCAAACCTTTCATCTTTAGAGTCGCTTCAAAGCCAATTCTTACGCCGACTTTTAAAACTACCAACATGCGTAAGTAATGCGGCTATTCGCTTAGAAATGAAGATCCCCTCAGTGGAGTTAGTTTTATGGAGGAGAGTTTTGATTTACTGGATATCCCTATGGCATAAACTACCGAACCACTATCTCATTCAATGCATGTGGCGGGATGACTTCACAAATTTGTGGTCAGGAAAAATCCATGCCAAATTGCTGTCCTATGAGATCTCGCCCACGGAATTGCTCAAACTGGATCTAAACGCTGGCAAAAGGTGTATAAATCAAAGGCTGGATGATGTGGAGCTATACCAAAATTTCTTAGCTGGTGGTGGAGCCTGCTCGCCGTTAAATCTCGGCATAACCCCTATCTATCGTGCTCCGTCCTACTTAACATCGCTTATAGCCGCATCTCACCGATATGCCTTCATTAGAGCCAGGTTCAATGTTTTCCAACAAACGTGCTGAGACATAGATTCACTAAGGGCCAAGTCCCTTCAATGTGTGCTTGTGAAATGAAAACATCTGAATCTTTACATCATGTTATGTTTATCTGCCCTATGTACAGTTCAGTTCGTGCTAGTATACTAAACTCCATAATCCAGCCTATGGCTGACAAACCAGTAGACCTTCAGCTTGCCTGGGTTCTTCAAGATGTAGATCCTTATATTACTCTACAGGTTGCTAAATTTCTAACAGCCGTTCTCTCGTACAAGAGACGGAATGGAATGTTAGCTGATTATTGATAGTTATAAGAATTTTTGATATTGACATCAGATATTGATTCTAGTGTAGTGCCTAAATTTTTAACTTTAATCTTAAATTTCTGTTTTTGATTTGCCAATATTTGTCCTTGTGAGCTGTGAATTGTGTTATATTACTTGTGGCTTGTACGAGACCGCTGTTTTACTTGATTTGTTTTGTATGTTGTGTTTTATGATGGGCGTAAAGCCGAATAAACATTTTGACTTTGACTTTCCAGACCCTTAACCATCTTGGCTAACCTCCTCTATACACGTTCCGGCTTGTCAATATCATCTTAATGAGTTCACACAGGAGATAACTATTGCTATGAGGCCAAAGCCTCACCAGAAGGTAGTCTGGCCATGACAACTGTACACCAGCAGTATCCCCCATCTATTTCTTTGGCTCAGCACCAGGAATAGTGCTGGTTTTTTTGCTGAGAATAATGCAATGTCTACGTTTTGAACACCAAATATGCTGTTGGCTGAAATGATATTTACAGTTATTCCCAAAGGACCATTTATCAATAAAATAATCCGTATTGTTCTAAAAAAGAGAAAACTTAACTGAGATAGTTTCTAATTAAAAACCAGGAAATAAAACTTGCCATCTTAAGTTTGTTTAGAAGATAGTAGAAAAGTCTGAACTAAAACAGACTGCCAGCTACCAGAGTAATTGCTTGTCTTTATTAGGGTGTAATCCTATGCCCAGTTACCCGGGAGAAAGCCCTGTTGAACTCAGTGGGACTTACTGCCACACATTTTTACTCTGCCTTTCAGCCAGCCAAGTACTTAGGGAGGCTTAAATGAAACTAATAGAAATAGTGCAATCAATAAAAGTAGAGGATCTAATAAACAAGTGGGAAAGCAGAATAAAAATATAAGGCTGCTTTGTATGAGTGTGTATACTGCCTTGTACTCTTCAGAATCATCCTACATTCAAAAAGGGTGGAACAGCAAATCAGTTACTGTGCCAAAAATTGCAGGATATGACAAAGAAGCTTGGCACATAGGCAGCACCCTTGACTATGTTTCCAGCATAGGCAAATGTCCCTCCGTTGGGGTGCTCAGACAAAAAAAGCCGTGTCTCCTCACACAGTGGGGGCAACCCAGAAAAGGAAGAAGCTGTCAGGCTAGTTAGCAGACAGAATTAGAACAAACTAGAAAATATTATATCCTAGGTTATGCAGTTATGCTATAATGTAAAGTACAACCCTGCCTTCCTCTGTCACTGTGTTATTTTCACATACTTGGTGTGAAAGACAGAGGGGGGCGAGAACAGGAATGCAAAGTACTGGTATGAATTAATCCGCTCTTCGGCTTAAATAAAACCAAGAAATGCTTCCTGATTTGGCAGAGCTCTAGCCATTACAGCTCAGCATCTTCCGAAGGCTAGGAGGCCCTCCTGTATCTAGCACACTGGCAGTTTCTATGGCAACCTGCTGTGTATGCGTGCTACATCAATTGCATCACAAACACTTCTTCCATTAAACCACTGTATGTCTGTGCTGCATTTAACTGGCATTTTCTATGGAATGTGTTAGTTCCGCTGGATTTTCTTTTGCGAGAGAAGAGGAGACGCCATGGCGGAGGATGTGCTGTCGTGCTGAAGGTCCCTGGTGCAATGTTTTCATTAAAAGGATGTTGGCCAGAAGGGCAGAAAAGCTTTGCCTGAGAACCTTGGGGAGCTACTGCCAGTTAGGGTGAGCTCAGTGGACCAATGGCCTCCTCACCCAGGGCAAGGCAGGGATCGGAAAAGGAAGCAAGGCTTTCTAGCCAAGGTCCTTCATTGTCTATGTGTGCATGTATAAGGAGGGGAAGTGGGGGGGACACCTTTCAGAACAGAAAGGCAATGGAGTGGCAGTGGATGGTAGGGAGGGAGGGAAGAGAGCAATTTCAAACACTGAGCAGATCTTGCACTGCAAGTACCTCTGGAGATGCCACCTACAAACTCCTGGGCTACTGACTGTGAAGAAAAGACTCTGACCCCAATGAGCTTGCATACGGACACACAGCACAGCTACATCAGCCAGTTGAAAAATGGGCAATTCTAGTGCAAGGTTGGCCGTTAAAGGCAAGTAAGACGAGGTGGCAGCCCTGCTCCTGGAGTACTTCACTCCAGAGAATTCTGGTATGGCACAAATGATTTAAAGCACCTGCCTGCTAATTATGTCTCTCAGTATCCACTGTGTTTCTCTTGCCCTGGGAAAAAAAATCTCTGAACTGCACTGTGAGCCACAGACACCATTTGCAATCAGATTTCAAGAAGTATCATGTTCGACTGATTTATTAAAATGCAGTTGTGTGAAGGGGGGAAATGTGTGTATGTGTGGGGGCGGGGAGGAATGGACTGCTACTTTAAAAACACCAATACTGTTTCTGTACCTTCAAAAATAGTTTTGGGTGGAGCTTTCCCCATAATTTTCTCTTCCTGCCAAGAGAAGCTCCACCTGCTATTAAAGGTGGAGAAGCAGTGTCAGTGAGAAAGGTGGCAACCCTACAGGTTGTAAGGATACAATTGGTCACCTTTGCCCAGGGACACTAATGGACAGCTGCTGCTAAGCTTCTAGTAAAATCCCTCATTAGCACTGTCCCAATGATAAGAAGCTGATTTAAATATAGACAGTAGATTGCAGGCGATTATAGACAATTAGGATCGCCACATTTCCCCCCCTAGCAGTGCTCCTCTGCCTCATCACAGTTATTGGAGGCTTTCATTATCACTCCATGCAAGGGGGGAAAAACTTCACTTGCAGAATTTCTGCTTTCATATACTTAAAAGGCACAGGTGATTTGCTATAAAAAATACGGACAATCGCACAGATTACTACACAGTTATCAAATCTGCAGGAGATCACTTATTTGGGAGAACAGGACTGCAGACAATTGTGTAAGAAAGCTAAAAATTGCAGATTTATTTCCATTTAAAGGGAGCATAAGACTGGAGAAAGAGGTCTTAGGTCCTAGTTACTACTTAAGCAAATGCTTAGAAAATGCAGTGGAACTAGTCGAGGACTCGAGGACAAGGGCCGGTGCCATGGATCAGCATTACTAGGCACCCACAGAGACCGAAGCCCCAACAGAAGAGGGTCCACCGCTAAATCCTATTCATTGGCTTAAAACATTTCTATACTGCTCTTCAGTTAAGAGTTTCCAAGGAAGTATTACAACAGCTTGCAGACTGCAAAACACAAATCACCAATAAAATGGTTGAGAGAGCACAACAAACAATCCAAGCGGATATATAAAAATGCACCAGAAGTTAAAAACCTGGGGGAATAAAAAGGTATTTGTCTGGTGCCTAGAAGATATTAACGTAGGCACTAGGCAAGCCTCCCTAGGAAGATCCCCACCAGGGGTGCTACAAGTGAGAAGGCCCTGTCTGGCTGTTGCTATCCGGTCCTCTGCCACTCTAGGAAACACACAAGCACACACAATCCCAGGAAGCATCCAGTGATGTGAAGGAATCATAGAATCATAGACTTGTAGAGTTGGAAGAGACCCTGAGGGTCATCTAGTCCAACCCGCTGCAATGCAGGATTATGCAGCTGCCCCTATGAATGCTGAAATGGCAACCCTGGCATTATCAGCACCATGATCTAACCACCACCACAAATCAACAGGAGCTGAACCACACCTGCCACTCCAAGCGTGTGAGCAGGGGCAAGAGCAAGGAGGAGGTGAATTCACAGAAACAGCAGCCACCCCCACCTCTCTCTTTCAGCAGTAGTGTGGGGCTGGACCCAAAGGAGGAGAGCAAGCAAATGGGCAGCACACATGCCACCAAAGAGGATGTGGGCCCATCTTGTCCAATCTCCACTGCCTCTCCCAACCAAAAAGTCAACAGACAAACCCCTGAGTATCATGAGCCTCCCCATTTTTATCTACAAGCTTTGCTGAACTGGAGGCAGAAACAGTAGACCAAGACGAAATGAAATTAAACCACTGAGAATATACATTGATCGGGCCAAACACTGATCTAAAATTTGGAACTGGCCATTTGTGCAACTGCTCAGGGGGAAAAATCCTCCTGTGCCATTAACAGGGCTCTGACTGGAAGAAATCAGAAGTGATGCTTTTCATGCCATGGAGCAAATCACCTGTTCACTGCTGTAGCTCAAACGGTTAAGGAAGAGCTAAAGGGACTGGTTGAAAAGTTGGCAGCTCTGCTGCAGCAGCAGCAGCAAGTCTGGACAACCAGGAAGCTCAAACTGAGCTTTTCCTTGAGGGCTGAAGAATGCTGCCTTCTATGATGATGTTGCTTCTAATCTAGGAACAAAAAGCCCTTTATCAAACACTCAGTGACCTATTTTACTACAGTACAGTATATTTACTGCATTCTGGATTGGAGTTGCCAACATTTTCTGGCAGATTTTCTGAGCCTTTAACAGGTGTGTAAGAAGATTTCTGCAAGTGAAGCCTTTCCCTCTCATTAGGCATCTGTGCAATTGGGAAAAGTTTCAACTACTGGCACTTTCCCCAATTATGCAGATGTGGTGATGAGAGCAAAAGGTTTCACATAATGTATTCCTGCTTGTACAGCTGCAGTTCAGTTTGCAGAAGCCTGCTGGGACAAGCATCTCAGATCTATTCAGATGCAGGCATTACGTGCCTCCTTTTTTACCCTAAGCTACCTCTTTAATATATTCCATCTTTTTAAGGATATTATTATTATTATTACTAAAAACAGCCAGGTGATTTATCCAATTTGCAGTATTTTTATGAGTTGGGTGGGCAGGGGGCGCAACACAACTCTGGTGGACACCAGCTTTCTTGTGTCAATTCCCTAAGCAAAATAAGAATATATCAGAATGTATATCCAGTAGATCCACTTTGTCTGTTCTCCTGCTCTGGAAGTTCTAAAAAAACTCTGCTCAGGGACAGGTGTGTCTCCATTGTTGGTTTCACAATCAAAGGACTGTCAAGATCAATTGGCCAATAGATGCTTAAACATCTGCTACTAAATGCAGAGTTTTCTGAATGACAAAAGTAGGCATATTGCCATACTTATTATTTTTAATGGCCCAAGTTACTTCTTCCAATGTAATTGGGTACAAGGTGCGTTCTGATAACTAGGGTGACCACAACTGGTAAAGCTCACCCCACCATGAATATTTATGCCAGATATTTCTCTGTGTCAGGCTGATGTTAAAGGTACAAAGAGTAGGGGCAGAGATAAGAAACATCTGTACCAGTACTCCGCCTGCATTGTTTTGATGTAATCCTTACAACACGTCTGTAAGTGTTAGCCTCCAGATTGCAGTGGCAGGTGGGTGGGAAGGCAGAGGATGAGAGCGAAGATGGCTTGCCTGGGGCTACCTTATTATGACTTCATGGCAGAGGTGACATTTGAACCAGGGCCTTCCTGAGTCAGCACTCTATCTCTTTGCCATGGCTCTACATCAGCTTTCTTTTAAAAACTTCTGATTACCCTAGTAAAAGACACTGGAGCAGAACCCTTTTTTAAAAGTGCGCAACCCTGCTATTGGCAACTTGAAAAACAAGTGCCTGGTTCTAGAGTTAAGACATTTGTGGCTCAGGGTCCATCTGCCCTTCCCTTTGTTTCATGATTTCAAGTGTCAGAGAGGGGGTTTTTTTGGTCCTGCTGTTTTCCCCAGGAAAACCCGTTGCTTACTGCTTAATCAGAACAAACATCAATCTGCAGAAAACCCAAACATTTTGGGGGGGGGGCAAAGTGCCTCAGCCCTTAGGAGCTGGTGCCTATGGATGGAGGTGTCCAGGGGCACTCCAAAAAGAATGGGATGAGAGCAGTGCAACTTTGCTCCCACTTCTCAGTGTTTCTGCAGCTTTCAATACCATTGACTATGGCAGAGGTTTTCAACCTTTTGGAGTCCACAACTCCCTTAACCAACCACATTCTTTCTGCAGCACCCCTGTGAGGCTCAGGAGCCCAGTTGTGTCACTCCCCTCCCCTCTCCTTGGAGTCCTCTGGGCAGCCACTGCTGCCACCCCTGGTCCCCCTGCCCCAAAGAGAGGTGTCTCCCGGAGGCACCATTCACCTGCAGGGCTTATAGCCCGGGCTGCTGCAACAAACAGCTGTGAAAATCTTTGGGAGGCTGAGACTTGAGAAGGCATCAAAGGAGGGAGGGAAAGAAAGAAAGAAAGAAAGAAAGAAAGAAAGAAAGAAAGAAAGAGGGACAGAGGCCAGTGTTGCCCACAGCACCCCTGGGGTGCCACGGCACACTGGACCATGAATACCTCTGGACTATGGAATCCTCCTGGACTGGCTCTGTGAAGTGGGAATCTGGGGGCACTGTACTACAGTTGTCCTGGTCCCACCTATGGGACCAAGTCCAGAAAGGAACACTGGAAAAGTGCTTTTTGGCTCCCTGGCAGTTATGCCACAGGCCACTGTTTTATCCCCAATGCTATGAAACCACTGGGAGTAGTCATTAGGAGTTTGGGGGCAGGATGCCATTTGTATGCTGATGATGCTCAGGTCTATTTTTTGAAAACATCTGAATCAGGGGAGGTCATGCAGGCCTGAATACAATGGTGGACTTTATGAGGGAAAATAAACTGAGCTTGAATCCTGGCAAGACAGAGGCACTGTGGGTATAGAAATTTAATAAATAATAATATTTTTTGTAAACCGCTTAGAAGTTTTGTTTATAAACAAGCAGTATATAAATTTTGCTAAATCGATCAATTACAGTCACCTGAGTCACACACTCACATGCAACTTTCAATAAGGGGATAATAGCTTCTATTTACAAAGCTACTATATTGTCACCACTCTTTCCTTTGGAACTTTTGTTCATTTGTTACAACACCCCAAGGCTATTCATATCCTATATATTCAATTTATTTTGGACAATATTGAACTTGACATCCTTGATTAAAAAGAGGACAGTTTTCAGAACTATAAGTGTGTTGGGTCCATAGAGGGAAGCAAAACCTACAAAAGGAGTCCTGTGGCACCTTTAAAAGCTATTGTGTATGTTAATGGCAGAATCTTTTGCAGGCCAGAGCCCAACTTTATCACATGGCAACAATGTCAAGGAGTTTTCAAGGTGTTGCTTCATTCTAGCATGGTTCTCTGTGGTTTGGGGTGCTGCTGGCTTTCTCCACAGCTATCTCAGATATTCATTATCTGAGGGAGGCAGAAAGTGCTATCAGACCATGTTTTCATCATCCAGCATCCTCCTCCAATCTACATGACTCTGTATTCCAAGTTTTGGCTAGCCCCTTTAACTGCAATTTGTTCTGCAGCAAATTAATGGTGAAACACCTTGCTCCATACTACCACTTGATGACTTTTGCAGAGGCAAAGGGGTGAGAGCTTCCTTTTTTTGGCCAACTGGCAACCCTATTTTAATAATAACCAATTCAGCTCAGTTGGATTTGCTTAATAGCTTGACAAGAGATTGTTGGTAAGTCATTTAATCCTCTCATTTACAACCCAGCCTCTTCTTTTTTGGTAACAATAGGTAGAACCAGACAACCAGTATAATAAGAAGCTCAGGAATATGCCTTAACCCAGGGATAGGGTATCTGTGACCCTCCAGATGTTGTTGGACTCCAACTCCCATCACTCTCAGCCAGGGTGGTCAACAGTCAGGGATGATAGGAGCTGTAGTCTGGACACATCTGGAGGACCATGGGTTCCCCATTCCTGCCTTAATCCATAGGTTGGTTCATTCACTGCATATGGAAAACTGAAGTGTGAGATAACATAGATTCAAACTCACACAACCCTTTTCAAAAAATTTTTTAGCACAATGTATTATAGAAATGGTGGCAGAACAGCTGTAGAGAAAGATCAGGCTGCTGCTGCCTCAGCTACGCATCCATATATCCAGTGCATTTCCACAACAGCACAGAACTAAAATCCATAGTTGGAACTTTGGAACAGCTTTGCAGAAGATGAGAAAATAAATAACTCACCCACTGGTTCCTGGTCTCTGGGCCTGAGAGAAACGCCAGTCTGTGTTAGGTTGTGCTTGCTGCAAGAGAAACACAAAGAGAGGTTTAATGCTTCTATTCCTAAAATGAAGCTCAGCTATAAAATACACACACACATGCACACACAAGCAGAGAACACCATTATATGTTCCAAAATACTTCTAAAGAAGCGTGATTGGTTAACATGATAAGAAAGTAATCTAAATAATCTTGTAGAAGATAAGACAGTCAGAAACTATCCATGAATAAATGAAGCATGAAATAAGCTTGAAGGGGCATCATTTAAACCAGAGAACACCAGAACATCAGGAATAATATTTTTTTTGGGGGGGGGGGAGGAGAAGAACAGAATTAATTGGTACTGAGAGAATACCAACATCTGAAATGCTAATAGAATTTCCTAATTTATAATCTTTACTGAAACAGGTCAGTGTTAGGGCTTTGATTTAATGTCTTCTGTTTCCTTTGATCTTTGGAGCTTTGCAATCTTTTTCGCCCACTGAGATTAAAAATTCCATTTCCCACAACAATAATGATTTCTTTGAAGGCGCAACAGAAGACACTATATCAGAATAGACTGAGCCATGTATTACTTTCCACCCACATTGTTGTATTATTAGAACAATGGACATTTTGTAAATAAAGGAGTACATAAAATGCCACTATGAGCAGCATGTCTGAATAGCTCTTTGTGATCACAGCTGAAAGACACAGTGTGGTTGATGCATGCTGCAAAACTCCAGATATCCTGTCAGTCTCCTCCATTAATCCTTCAGTAATAATATTCCACACCATTAGAGAGATTGGCACCCGAACCGTTGTTTATGTGTTTTTTTCCTTAAACAAAATGGACAAACATGTTTTAAGATCAGGATACAAGGGTGTAATCGACATCTTATTCAAGCAACGTCAAAATTAGAATTGAGTCAGGTGAATCTGGACTCCTAGGATCCTGCAAATAAAAAACTATATGCCTACAATCCAAACCCCACTTGCCTGAGAGTAAGCCCAATTAAATTCAATAGGACTCATTTCTGAGTAGACAAAGCTAGGGTTGAGACAATAGGAGGATTCCAGCTTTACTGATTATTGATCTGTGAACACTAAAGGATTAAAATATACTACTGGTGTCAGTTAAACAAGTTCGTAAATCTATTTATGTATGTGTATGTGTAAAATTATCATATATAACAGTATATAGCATGTATAAATATACATATATTTCTCTGCAGACTAAATATGCAGAAACAAGCCTCCTCCTTTGAGTTATTCATTGTGAACACTTACTTCCTCAGTTGCTTCTATAATTTGCAGAGCCAGAGGCTACAATAATCAAACCTTAAATCCTAAATTTAAACACCTAAATACAGGCAGTTCTTTAAATATATTTTGAGCATCTTCAGCACACACTGAATTAAAAAAACCCACACACACAACCCGTGGTTTTCTGAAGTTTAGAAAATGGCACCTGTTTATTTAAGTTTCTAAATGTGGATTTAGACATTCCTAAAATGGTTAAGTTCCTGTCCCCAAGTCTCAAAAAGCTCAAATTTCAGCTATATTTCTTTACGAGGTGGCAAAAGCTGGAATGTGAAAGCTGTGTATGATAAGGATTGCAAAACAGAGTGTCATGTGTTGCAAAATACTGCATTCTTTCTGCACATAGTATCTTCATAGCGCCAGCAAAATTTAGAAGCAGGAAAGAAGCAAAATTGAAGTAAGAGCAGTTTGTTAAAATTACTGATATGTAAATTTTGTATTGTTGCTTTTTCTTAAATAAGCTGAGCCTGCCCCTCTCACCAAGGGCTCACTGCTTCCTATCCCTTGTGTTAACCCAATGGGAAATTTTCATTTTTAAAAATAAATTTTTAAATTTTTAAATTTATATTTTAAAATGTATCAATTACTCACATTATAACACATCCAAATAATTCAGCTAAAAATATACTGTCTCATTTGCAGTCACTCTTAGCTCCTGCCACTCTTATGGAAAGGGCTGTGCACTTCTGAAATGCCCATTTACTTCAATGGGACTTGCACAGAAGAACTTCCCAGTGAATGGTCATAAGATGTTTCCCCTAAGGTGCTACTTAAGTGTAACTGTGATGTCACAGAATCATGTATTTATTAGACGTACTTGTTTTAAATGCTTGCAGGCTGCTTTTGGGGCGAAGATGCAACATGTCAAAATCAAAACATGCTCAAAATGGCAAAGTAACACCAGCAGCTTCACAGTTTTTCCACAATATTACCTTAAGATGGTGATAGATCTGGATTTGCCTGACAGTTTTACAGAACTCTGATAATGGTAGCAGTGAGGTGAGTAGGGAGTACTTTTAAAAATGAATCCAGCAACCCTCACCTTTTGACCCATATCCTCACCATCATCACCATCACAGTCTCTTTTGCTAAAGGATCCATTAAGCACATCTGTGCAAAACGATGCAGCTAAAGATGCCTCAACATATACACCGATGTGGTCCCATTTCAGTCTCTTCCTTTGAACCTCTGCTCAGAACTAACGTCTTCCATAAAGCCTTTGGTTTAAACCTCTGGCTTTCCTCTCCAGCTGAGATGAGAGTGGAGTCAAAGTCTGTTCAGATCTGGCTTCTTCCCCAAATGTTTGCTGCACATGTAGAGAAGGTCTGGAACGGAGCTCGTTTGTAGCTGCATCTGCTCTCATTCATCCTTCGCTAAACTTGCCTCCCCCTTTTCTCTGACTACATTTAGGTCGAGAGCTTCTTGTGGCAGGGACATGGGTTGTGCTTTTCTTTACTCTGTAAAGTGCTGGGCACACGGGTGGCATAATAATAATTCTACTGAGTTTTTAAAAGCCTAACTGACAAGCAACAGTAGCAACCCAAACAGGACTTTGGATCCACCTGACCTTATGTCCAGCATAGGGCTACCTAAACGTCCCATCAGCACATGGGTTTCCTCTTGCACAACAGGACTCCCCTTGCCTCTTGCCTCCCCCCTCCCCCTCCTGCTGTGACCACCTAACTCTGTCTGGAGGTTCCTCAACTCTCTGGAGCAGATTTGGGGAGAGTTTGTTGAACATGTTGAGAGGAAGAATGGGGGGAGGGAAGGGGGCAGACCCCATTTCACAAGCAGAAATCCTTGCACGGATGGGATGCATGTGTTGGATTACCACCCTATATATTTGTTTTATTATACCACCCTTTAATCATATTCCCAGGAGTCCCAGTCAAGAGCAACCACTGCACATGCATTCTCCTCTCACCCCAATTTACCATAGAACCTCCTGGGGTGGGGGGAGGCAGCTGGAGAGTGTAGCATGGAAAGAAATGAAAGCCCTACATGCACCTTGTAAAAAGCATAACAGCTGCAAAATGAAGGAACCCCGGGATGTCACCCTCCACAACACACACACACGCATGCATACACACCTCATTTACCTCTTTACACCTAGCAGATGGAAGTCTATGGTAGATAAATATGGTAGATAAATATGGATTTATGGATTGCAAGCAGAAATGTTTTAAGAATCACTTTAGTGTATCTTACCCCATCAGAGGGACTCTGCAAAACACTGCCTGCCTGCTCAAAGGCAAGCATGCTTTCTGCTGTAGTGGAATGACTGAAAGGTTTAACAAAAAAGAATTCGCCCTGTTCAGACATTGGAGAGAGACAAGACTTGTAGTGCTGAGCTCCAGCTCCGCCCACTTCAAGGTATCTGATAAAGCCTTCGGGATGTGGGCGCCCAGTGAAATTTATGGTGGATTTCCTGTCTGTCCTCTTACTACAGCAGTGTGACATGAACCAGCTGGGGACACAGAGGCCAGATCTGAAGCACCTGGCCCCCACAATAACCAACATTACACAAGAGACCAGAGAGATGGCCACAAGAGAGATGATAAGGTAGAGAGTTAGGCTGGGGGCTCTGGAAGGTGATTTGGGGAGAAGGTCCAAGGACTTGGAAAAGTCCTGCACAGCATTATCCTCTGAGGAAATCACAAGAACCAGTGAGGCTGAGAGAGACGGCACTCCATTGTCTCTTACTTCTATCACCAACCTGTGGGACACCCCAGGCTCCCTCAATGCCCGAACAGCCCGGATCTCTCCTGAGTGGCGTTCCACTTTGAACGGGGTGGCTTCATTGGCATCCTGAAGCAAACTATATGACAGCCAAGCATTGTGGCCACTGTCAGCATCCACAGCCACCACTTTGGTCACCAGGAATCCAGGTTCCACCGGGAGCAGAACTGGCTGGTGAAAGGCAGAGCCCTTGGAGACTTGCGGGTGCACAATCACCGGGGCGTTGTCGTTCTGGTCCACAACAAACAAGTGAAGAGTGGCTGTGCTGCTCAGGGGTGGGAAACCCGAATCCTTCACCTCCACTGCAACTTGAAAGACTTTCTCTTGCTCATAGTCAAGCATCCTGGATGTGTAAATGCTGCCATTCTCTTGGTTGATGTGGAAATAGGTCGAAATGGGTAAGCCATGATTTCCATTGTCCACAATGGAATAAGACAGCTTGGAGTTGACACCTGCATCCGGATCTGAGGCTGACAGAGAAAAAACTAGAGTCCCAGGGGAAGTATTTTCCTCCACATGAGCAGTGTATGAAGGGATGGAGAAAGTGGGTGCATTGTCATTAACATCTGAGACTTGAATAAATATGTTTTTGTGGGTGGATTTTTGAGGCATTCCAGAATCTGTTGCTTTAATTGTGATATTATATCCAGCAGCCTTCTCTCGGTCCAGGGGCCCATTGGTCACCAGTGAATAATGTCCCTTAAAGGAAGACACCAGTTTGAACGGGATGTGCCTGGTAATCTCCAAGTGGACTTGCCCATTTTCCTCAGAGTCGTTGTCCTTTGCTTGGATCAGGGCAATGACTGTTCCTGTGGGTGCATCTTCTTGCACTGGGCTAGAGAGGGAAGTCAGCATAATCTCTGGGCGGTTGTCATTGACATCAACAAGTTCCACTCTGATGTTGCAGTGACCCTCCATGGCAGGGGACCCCTTGTCTTTTATGTAGATAGCTATCTCGTAAGCATTCGCTTCTTCGTAGTCCAGCAGAGCTTTGGTCCTGATCTCCCCTGTCTGGGGATCCAAGCTAAACAAGTCAAGGAGCTTCAGAGGTGCGCTATTGCTGGCTTTGAGGAAATACTCCATCTCTCCATTGGGACCTTCATCTAAGTCCGTAACATTGAGCTTAGTTACAACAGTCCCCACCTGGACGTTTTCCTCCAAATAAACTTTGGACACTGGCGGGTCACACACAGGGGGGTTGTCATTTGCATCCAGGACGTGGACTGTCACCTGGGCAGTCCCAGACTGAACAGGATTCCCACTATCCAGAGCTGTCAGGACTAAGTGATGGACAGCGGCTTTTTCCCTGTCTAGAAGCTTCTCCAGCACAATTTCGGGCATTTTGACCCCGTCTCCCCTGACGTTAATGCTCAAAGCAAAATGTTCGCTTGGGCTAAGCTCATAGGTGGCAATGGAGTTGGAGCCCGTGTCCGGGTCTTCGGCGGCTTCCAGGCGCAAGCGGGTGCCCGGGTTGGCCACCTCGGTGATTTCCAAGGAAACCCTGTCCTTCGGGAACTTGGGGGCGTTGTCGTTCACGTCCAGGATCTCCACCTCCACCCGGTGTAGCTGCAGGGGGTTCTCCAGCACCAGCTGGAGAGGGAAGGAGCACGTGGGGCTGGAGCTGCACAGAGCTTCGCGGTCCAGCCTCTCGTGGACCAGCAACATGCCGTCGGCGAGGTTGACATGGAAGTAGTGGCGCATCCCGTCGCTGACCAGCTGCAGGCGGCGAGCGGACAAGCTCCGCACGTCCACGCCTAGGTCCTTCGCCACGTTCCCCACGGAAGAGCCTGGGTCCCGGTCCTCTGGGATGGAGTAGCGAATCTGCGCGGGGATGAGCCCTGGCAGGGACAAGACGGCAGCCACCAGCGCCAGCAGCTGCCACGACCAGCTCTGCCCGCCGCCCATGCCTGGCTCCTTTGCGCGCAAGGATGGCCGTCTCCAGCGGCTGCCTCTGCTCCAGGTATCCAGCCCGGGGGTGGCCGCTGCTGCCTCCGGACCCCGCCGCAGTCCGGTGCCCCCCGCCCCGCCCCCCAGGTCTGCTCCTGGCGGCTCCGGGGTGACCTGAGAGGTGCTGTGCAGCGGAAAGGCGCGGGCTGCAGCTGGAGAGGCGGGAGGGGAGAGCGGGGGGATTTTAAAGCGCTCGGATCAGCAGCAGCTCATTGGCAAAAGGAGCAGCAGAGAAAAGGGGCTGTGAAATGGATACAGACAAGCGGCAATTCCCTCCTCGGCGGCGGCGGCGGCGGCAGCAGCAGCAGAGAAGCCCCTTCCCCGAAACGCACACACACCCTGCTGCTCCCCCCTCCCCAATCTCTCTTGCCACCAGTTTTCCCTCCCTGCGCTTCCCATTCCTTTCCCAGCGCAGCAGAGAGACTTGGAGGGCTGACCCAAGGGAGCCATTGGCCAGAAGAGCTCCCTTGATGCCCCTCTTGGTGGAATAGCAGGAATCGAAGGTGCAGAACGCAGACAGGGCGAGCTGCTGACGGCAGCTGTAACTCCAGGAGGGGGGGAGGGGGCTACTCTACCCTCCTGCAACCTCTTCACTTCAATCCCCTCCCCCCTCCCCCTCCCCCCGCTCATAAAGAAAGAGAGGAAAATTAGGCACACAAAGCTTTGGAGCAGATAGGTGCAATGTATCACAGCCTATGCTTGAGACCACGCATTGATTCCTCACCCCCACCCCAGGCACTTCTCCTAGGTGCAGGGAAACTCAAAAGAAAAGAAAGGTGGTGCCATGGCTGGAACAAAATAGGGACACTACATGGAAAATTCTCACCTTGCCAAGGAAGCTGGGTTCAGTGAGATTGCTGCAAGAGGCTGTCCTAAGTGTCAGATTAGGTTTCATGAATACAAATTCGCTAATGTCTGAGACAGGAGAAAAGCAGGATCTGTATCCACGGGCAGGGGGTCCAGAAGTGGCCACTTGCACTCCTATCATGGCATCTCCAGGGCTCAGCTGATAATGGCAATGTCCCATCACGTGATCTGAAGCATCTTGAAGCCCACCAGCTTTGCTTCCACAGCATCCAAAGATGGTAGATGTTGCACGTGAATCACGGCGGAGGCATCGAACTCCCAAGGCCACCAAAGCCATCAGCGAGATGGTGGAAATTGCTGCCAAGGAGATGATAAGGTACACAGTCAATGTGGGAGGTCCCTCAGTTTCCACTGAGTGAGCTGTTAACCCCAGAAAGGTTTCAGGGCTGCTCTCCTCCAAGAGCACCATCACAGTGACTGAGGTGGACAAGGAAGGATCACCTGAGTCTTTGACAACCAGGACAAGGTCCTGGGTAGGATTGTCTATGTCCTGTAATGCTCGTGTAGTCCTCACCTCCCCGCTACGGAGGGCCATGCTGAAAATACCAGGGTCTGTGGCTTGCTCTACATGGTAAGAGAGCCAAGCATTTCGCCCAGAGTCCAAGTCCACTGCCATAATTTTTGTGATTAAGGCATTGGCTGCAGTAGATCGTGGAATTCTGAACTGTACAACAGAATCTTTCCCAGTAAAGGGGAATCGAATCCAGGGTGCATTGTCATTCTGATCTAGGAGGTAGATGTGCACCATGATTCTGTTGCAGAGAGGAGGCGAGCCACCATCACACGCCTCCACCAGGAACTGAAAATGATTTGTATGCTCATAATCAAAAGGGCTCTCTGCAAAGACATCTCCATTTGTTGGGTTGATGGAGACATAAGAGGTGAGGTCCTCAATCAATCCTTGCCCTGGGCTCGCCAAAACAGAATAAGACAAACGGGAGTTCTGGTCCTTATCAGAATCTGTTGCAGAAACTCTAAGCAGTACCACCCCCACTGGATTGTTCTCTTCTATGACGGCTTCATAAAATGGCCTGTCAAAATGAGGTGGGTTGTCATTGACATCTGCCAGAGTTATGGAGAAAGAGGTGTGCTCAGAAAGAGGTGGATTCCCTAAGTCAAAGGCATAGATGGTGACGTTGTATTGCGGAGTGCTCTCACGATCTAGCTGCTCACTGGTGAGCAAGGAATACTGGTGCTCAAAGTCTTTCCGAAGTTTGAAAGGAAGGTTTCTGGGCAGATCACACCGGACTTTCCCTTGATCCCCAGAGTCTCTATCCTTGACATGTATCACAGCAACCACAGTGCCAGGAGGCGCATCTTCACCCATAGAGCTGGAGAAAGAGGTGAGAATAACTTCAGGTGCATTGTCGTTGACATCCGTGACTTCTACCATAACACTGCAGTGTTCCTCCATAGTAGGGGAGCCCATGTCCTTAGCCTCCACTTCGATCTCATAGACATTAGCCTCTTCAAAATCCAGGCTCCCTTGGACACGGATCTCTCCCGTAGTCTCATTGATAGCAAATATCCTGCGCAAGGCTTCTGAGTTATGGCTGCTGAGGGAATACTGCACCTCTCCATTAGGCCCTTCATCCAAGTCTGTTGCATTCAGCTTAATCACCAGGGTTCCTGGAGGAGAGTTTTCTACTAAGCGAGTATAATAAGTAGGTTTGTCAAAAACCGGATGATTATCATTGGCATCCAGAATGTGGACAGCAATTCGAATAGCGCTAGATTTGGGGGATATGCCCCCATCTTCAGCTGTCAGGACCAAGTGGTGGACAGCGATGTGCTCTCTGTCCAGGGCTTTCTCCAGTACTAGCTCTGGGAATTTGGTGCCATCTGTACGTGCCTTCACGTTGAGGTTGAAGTTCTCATTGGCGCTGAGGTGGTAGGTCTGTAAAGTGTTAGTTCCTACATCTGAATCCTGTGCGTGTGGGATGGGGAAACGGGCACCCAGTGCAGCCAGTTCATAGATCTGCAGAGATATTGTGCTACTTGAGAACACAGGCGCATTGTCGTTGATATCCAGAATCTCCACTTCGATGCGATAGAACTCCACTGGGTTTTCAATAGCAAGTTTGAGATGCAAGAAACAGCGCAGGTTCTGCCCACAGAGCTGCTCCCTGTCTATTCTGTCATTGACTATTATGATTCCAGTGTTCACATTCACAGAGAAATACTGGGAGTCAGAATCAGAAAGCACCTGCAGATTGGCAGCTGCAAGCTTTGTCACATCCATTCCTAAGTCCTTAGCAACATTTCCTACAAAGGCTCCTCGAGTGAGTTCCTCTGGGACAGAGTAACGGATCTGTGCAAAACAGTCACTCAGAAACAGACAGAAGGCAAAGGCATGCACGAGTCCCAAACGCCAGGCAGAGTTTTCTGTTCTGAGCATCTTTCTGAAATCCACAGCAGGAAGCTCTAAAACTGCAAAACAGGAGCTAAATATAGCAGGCAGTATCTCTTTAAACCTCTGGAGGATTCACCACCTATCTCGAAGAAATATGAAATATATGAGAGGAAAAGGGTCTGTGGTCAGTGTTTACCTCTCTCATTCATTGTTTTGGTTTGAGAGAGATTGACACAGGAGGGGAGTGGTACACACCGCAGATCTTCAATGCTAACCTCCTGCTCATTGGCTGAGACTGCCTTTCTATTTATCCAATCAGCAGCCTCCTTCCCAGGACAGCAACACACGCACCAATCCAAGTCTGGAAGTTGCTACTGTGTGAAAAAGGACCGCGTAACCTGCTGTTTTTAACCTAGAGACACCAGGCTAAACGGCAGACAATGGAAAACAAAGCCCAAAATCTTGTCTGGTTTTGGCTTCTGTGCTAGCTATAGGACTCTTAGAAGCATACGCTGCAAAGAAATGTTTGCTCTAAAAGCACACTGACTCCTCACGTATTACATCCACAACAGAACAGCTGATTTGTCATTTTTATGAGCAAAGATAATTCAATGAATTCTAGGAAACAATAGTTCCTCTTACCCCATCCTAAGCTTCCAGATCAATCTCTTTTAGTTATTTCTAGGCTACCAAATTAATATCTAGCTTTATTTACCGGTATTTCAGAAGCCTTAGACTCCACCCTTCCAATGTAAAAACTCAAAGGAGTGATTGGTTTTTCTCAGGGAAAGAAATCTAATTGTATGGGGGGGGGACTTAGCAGTTGCAAAAATATGAAGAGCTAACTATGTGACAGGCAGCATTTGAAGGATGATTTTAAATTATCATTTTCTTATTGTTCACATCCTAGTTCCAGTCCCTGCTCCCCTACCCACTTTCTCTCATTAAAAGGCAGCAATTTGTGGGAAGAAATCAATGTAATTTTCCCCACTCTCCTGCTCTCTCTTTCCCAAGGCGTTATGACTATGTGGTGCAGGGTTAGATTATGAAGAAGGAGGCCCCACCCTATTCTGATAACCGATGAATCAGCCCTCAGTCAAGTTTCAAAGTGTTACTGGAGATACCAGTTTCATGTGGGAAAGGAGAAAAAGGACAAAATGCCACCTCACCTGCCTGGGATGGTTCAGTGTATCAGTACGAGATAAGAAAGTGTCAAAGTCTCTCGTCAGAGTACTTGGTTGAGGATAATCCACAGGCCTCATAAAGGTGAAATCACTTCTGTCCGAGCCGGGAGAATAGCTGGCTCTATAGCACTGGCTCTGGGAGTCTGTGGGCCTGAGTGTGACCTCCATGTATTTCAATGTGCCATCTGAGTTCAGTTGAAGCTTAGGGCTGGATTGTTTGAAAACATCCCTGGCAGGAGCACCACTCAGGCTGCAGCAAGAAGAACCCCTGGCTTTTTTATTCCGAAAGCATTTTGCAGACAAGATTATGAACGTAACAAGGGACACAATGCTAACTGCCACCAGCGCAATAATCAGATAGAGGGTCAGGTCAGATTTTTCTTTGGGGTGAGTCAGGAAATCACGAGACTGGGGCCTTTCCTCAGTTACTTTATCCTCCAATGAGACCACGATGGTGACGGTGGTAGACAAAGGTGGTTCTCCATTGTCCTTCACTAGTACAAGGATTTTCTGTGCTGGGAGATCTGTTTCCTGGAACTCCCGAACAGTCCAGATTTCCCCAGTGTAGGGAGCCACTCGGAACAAGGAGGGGTCAGTAGACTGGGAAAGCAAGGAGTAAGAAAGCCAGGCATTGTGGCCAGAGTCTGCATCCACGGCAGTGACTTTGGTGACCACATAGCCTGCTGATGCAGACTGAGGGATCCTCTGGATTGCAGACAGTTCCCGACCAGTCACTGGGTGCAAAACAACAGGCGTGTTATCATTCTGATCCATTATGAAGAGGTAGACAGTGACACTGGAGCTCAGTTGGGGGGACCCAGCATCATGCACCATGATGGGGATTTGCAGCACCTGCAGCGTTTCATAGTCAAAAGAGTGCTGGGCATAGACATTCCCATTGTCTGGGTTGACGTAAATGAAAGAAGAGACTGGAGCATCTTGAATTGGGCTTCCTGCCACTGAGTACGTGAGCCGGGAATTGTCCCCCTCGTCAGGATCAGAGGCCGCCACAGCGCATAGCAGAGAGCCAGGTGGATTGTTCTCCTTCAAGAAGGAGTTGTAGAAGGGCTGAGAGAAGTACGGGGCATTGTCATTAACATCTGAAATGTTCAGCAAGATGGTGACATCTGTGGTTAGAGGTGGGGACCCTGAATCTTGGGCCGTCAACTTGATAGTGTATCGAGAAACTGTTTCTCTATCCAGCTTCTCAGAGGTAATCAAAGAATAGTGGTTTTCAAAAGATTTAATTTTAAAGGGCAAGTTTGGTGATATTTGTAAGCTCACCTTTCCATTGGCACCTGAATCTTGGTCTCGCACATTGAAAAGCCCTACCACTGTCTCTAAAGGGGTGTTTTCTGGCACGGGGTTTACCAGAGAGGTAAGGAGAACCTCTGGGGGGTGGTCGTTCTCATCTTCAACTTCCATTTGGATTACACAATGGCCTTCCATTTGAGGAATGCCCTTGTCCCTGGCCCTTACATGAAGCTCATAAAAATGAGATTCTTCGAAATCCACAACTCCTTGGACACGGATCTCACCTGTGTGGGGATCCAAGCCAAACAACTTCTGGATGGAATCAGGTGTGTGGATTCCAAAGGAATACTGTATTTCCCCATTAGAACCTGCATCAGGGTCAGTTGCATTAAGTCTGAAAAGCAAAGAGCCTACAGGGATGTTCTCCGAAAATCTTATCTTGTACAGAGGAAGGTCAAATGAAGGCTCATTATCATTATTATCCAGGACCACAATGGTGATCAGAGCTGTTCCTGACAGTACAGGGTCCCCCCCATCACAGGCAGTCAGGATGAGCTGGTGTTCCGATTGTTGCTCTCGGTCCAAAGGTTGCTCTAGCACCAGCTCAGGTAAAAGCTTGCCATCGTTCACATTCTTTACATTAAGTGAGAAGTGGGGGTTGGGGCTGAGTCGGTAGACACTGACTGCATTGGTCCCCACGTCCGCATCATGAGCGCTCTCCAGTGGAAAGCGAGACCCTGTGGCGGCAGACTCTGCTATCCTCAGCACAAGCTTGGGGGTGAGGAAACCGGGGGAATTGTCATTTAAGTCCAGGATCTCTACCTCCAGGTGAAAGAGCTCCAAGGGGTTTTCTATGACTACTTGGACTGGCAAAATGCACCCCGAGCTTGCTCCACACAGGGTCTCTCGGTCTATCTTTTCATTCACTATCAGAGCACCGTTGGCCAAGTTAACTGCAAAGTACCTCTTGCTCTCCTCAGAGCCCAGCCTCAGCCTGCGACGGGAAAGGTCTGCCACCGTTAAGCCCAAGTCCTGAGCCACCTTTCCCACCACGGTGCCCAGCTCCGATTCCTCCACCACGGAATAGTGGATCTGTCCTGTAACCAACGCCCGGCTGAACATCAAAAACAAACCCAGTACTTGCCATTTGAAAGAGGGTTGCCGGGACAAATGTGGCTCCATTTCAGAAAAAAGTCCCCTTCCAGAAGGAGTCTTTGTGATATCCCAGGGATAAGGAGGCTCCAGGACCTGGATGAATGCTGTTTTTCAAATCCCTCGGTATTTCCTTCCAAATGAGTTAAAGTAGCTTTTGAGCTTGCCTAGCTGCAGCAACAGAATGTTAGTCAGAGAGTTGAGGGGGTGGATTGGGGGAGGGAAGCTGAATTACAGCCATAGCGACGGAGAAGGAAAGTCAAGGCAGAAAGAGCTGATCCCCCCTCCCCCCAAAATCTGGATCAGCACCTGACTAGATGACAGCTCCATCCACTCTCCACCAGTGACAAGTCCACCTACACTCTTAAAGCTGCTGCAGCACATGAAGTTGGGAGACCAGGACTGATCACCCCCATACCTCAACCCTAAATGTAACCAAGAGGCTGGTTTGCCACTGGTTTTGGCAGCTAAGTTTAGCAGCTCAGATTCTTGTTCTCAAGGAAACAGCACGTCCGGGAAGCATGAACGGTACAAATCCTCATTGTTCACATTAGCTAGATTCATTCCATCTCATCTGAACAAAAGACAAACTCTCAGCTGTAGGGGATACAGAATCATAGTCTCTCTGGCGAACAACTGGTCCGATTTTTCACTTGCAGTGAAAAAGGTATTTCTTACAGTCGAAAAGAGGAAAGATAGGGAGAAACTCTCACAGAAAGTGCTTTAGCATTTTGCAACGCAGCTTCAATAAATGCATTTAAAACTCTTAGTCATTACCAAGGCAAAACAGACCCTTTCAGAATGTTCATTTTCAAATGCAGACATGGGAACCTCCACCACACAGTGAAGAATGCACAATCTTCAAAATTGCTTAAGGCCTCCCAGCTCTATTCATTGGCCTTTCCAAAATTAGAACACCACAATCAATGCAGCAGTATTTCTAAGTAGAACCATTGTAACCCAAAGACCGTGGTGTGGCTTTGAATGTCAGGGACCCACATACCAAGTAATTTTTAAGCTGTGGTGTTAAAGCACTTTCCAATAACGAGACACCCAAGTACAGATTCACAGAACTGTGATGGACTCAGTGAGTGGACCATTTTTCTTAAGATGGGGTGCCTCATTCTTGATGCACTCCCGACTTATGACCCTTAGCACCTTTTCTTTCCCCTCTTTCCACCAAGCTTTCAAAAACATCAGAAAAAACAAATATTTGACAATCTCCCCTGGAAAATCATTTAACTGCTGGATTTATTTTTCGGTTAGAAACTTTTTGCTGCTTGTTAACCCAAATCTAAGTACCAGTAGTTTAAAAGCATTACTTCTTGCCAAATATCCACAGGGTGAACAACTGATAATCTTCCCAAGATTCTTCTAAAATAGCCTATCTCCTTGAAGAATCTCAAATCCAACAAAATGCTTTTTAATTTACAAACTGACCACCTTAACACAAAGGCTGCCTGACATTGCCATTGCATCTGTGACCTCTATCCCTGGAGATTGTTACAGAATCACAGGGTGCTACACGACATAGTTATAGAACAGTATTTCATGCCTCACCTCGTTTGGCTCTCGGGAAAGGCTGCAGGCCAGAAGTGTGCCTGTGCTGTTGATATCCTGCTGAGTGACTGGTGTAGCTATCCTGAAATTCCTCCCTTCTGAAAAGTGGGTCTGGCCAGGCCTTAGGAGGGTAAAAGGAGAAACAACATCTCCCCCAATGAAGGCTGTAGGGAATTCCATTTTTTCCTCCTGGCTCAAGCGTACTGAGAACGTGTCAAAGTGTCCTCCCACAGGAATAGAGTTCCTACCCTTCAGGTCGCTGGTCCAACCCACATCTGAGTGTCTTCCTTTCAATCTTTTAAGACACTTCATAGCTAAAAACACAAAGGCCAGAGCAGAAAGTCCTGAGATTGTGATTAGAGCAATAATGAGTTGCAAGGTCAGGTGAGACAGCCCTTCTTGTTCCATGCTGGACTCTCTGAGGTCTGCTGTGCCCAACTCATGCTCATGCTCTAGATTAAGAATCAGAGTGGCTGTGGCAGACAGAGGTGGCTTCCCATTGTCCAAGATCTCAACAACCAACTCTTGGGAAGGGGCGTCTTGTTCCAGGAGGGCTCGGACGGTTCGGATCTCTCCTGTGAACGCCGAGACTTGGAAAAGGCTTGGGTCTGTGGCTTGCTGCAGCTTATAAGAAACCCATGCATTCTGCCCAGAGTCTGCATCCACAGCTGTGACTTTGGTTACCAGGTAACCTCCTTGTGCAGAAAAAGGGACTGGCTGCTGGGCTAGGACCCCCTTCTTGGTTACAGGGTATACAATGAGAGGAGCATTATCATTCTGGTCTATGATGAAGATGGAGACAGTCACATTGGCACAGAGTGGAGGAGAACCATTATCCTTAGCTTGAATCTGGAAAACCAGTTGCTGGGTTTGCTCATAGTCAAATGAGCAGCCACTGTAGATAGTACCGTTCTCCATAACAAAGACATAGGAGGAAATGGGCATTCCATTTATGATATGCTCCACTAACGAATAAGACAGGTGTGAGTTCTGCCCCAGATCAGGGTCAAAGGCAGATATAGAAATGATTGGCAGCCCCAGAGCATTGTTCTCAGTTACGAGGGTCTCATATGCAGGCTGTGAGAAGTGGGGTGGGTTATCGTTCAGGTCAGATATATTTATAAGGAAGTTTCTTTGACTGGAGAGAGGTGGAGAACCAGAATCCGTAGCTGTGATCATAACTTTGTACTGTGAGATTTCCTCCCGATCTAGGGGGCCACTGGTGATCAGAGAGTAGTGGTTCTTGAAGGAAGGTACAATCTGGAACGGGATATCTGCAGGGAGATGAAGCTGTACTTCTCCATTTTCCCCAGAATCTGCGTCACTGACTCTGAGGAGCCCTGCTGTGGTACCTGGGGGAGCATCTTCTGGTATGGTGGTGGTGAGGGAAGTGAACCTAATGATAGGCTCATTGTCATTCACATCCACTACCTCCACTAAGATGTTGCAGTGTGCATCCATGGAAGGTGACCCTTGGTCTTTGGCCCTCACATCAATTTCATACAATGTGTCATCTTCATAATCCACACTTCCCAGGACTCTTATCTCCCCAGTCTCCTCATTAAGGCTGAACATTTTCCGGATTTTCTGTGGAGTGTGGCTGCTGAAGGAGTAGGAAACTTTCCCATTTGCCCCCTCATCATTGTCTGTAGCTTGTAAATGTATCACAAGGGTCCCTACTGGGGCATTTTCTAGTAGGCTAACTTTGTACACTGATTGGTTAAAGACAGGTGGATTGTCATTGGCGTCTATTACTGACACGAGAATCTTTGCTGTCCCGGATTTAGCAGGAACTCCTCCATCCAGGGCTGTAAGCACCAGGGGGTAGCGCTGCTGCTGTTCTCTATCCAACGCCTTCTCTAACACCAGCTCAGGTTTGCTGCCGCCTTTATGTGACTTAACACTGAGGCTGAATTGTCCACGTGGACTCAGCTGGTAGGTGCTGACTGAATTCATGCCAATGTCCAAATCTTCAGCACTTTCCAGGGGGAAGCGGGCCCCTGGCATTGCAGACTCTGCTATCTCCAAATGGGTTAGACTGGTAAGAAAAACCGGGTCGTTGTCATTCACATCCAAGAGCTCAACTTCCACACGATGGGAGGCTGTTGGGTTTGCAAGTAGGAGCTCCAGATAGAGCAGGCAGTGTAAGCTGGGCCCACAAAGCTGCTCTCGGTCAAGCCGTTCTTTCACGACCAAGAGACCATTTGGCACCTTGGCTTCGAAGTACTTTTCAGCAGAGCCAGCCATGATCTGCAGCTGTCGGGAGACCACCCGGGCAGCATCTAGACCCAAGTCTTTAGCCACATCCCCAACAAAGGCCCCAGGAGCTAACTCCTCAGGAATCGAATAATGGAGCTGGGTCATCTCTCCAGCACTCTGGAGAGAGACAGAAACCAAAAGCAAAGCTCTTACTTGCCATGGCAGGAGTAGTCTTTCTTCCAGAGACAGCATAATGTCGCCAAAATTTCCTCTTCCTTTGCTGGACCTCTGTCCTCTCTGATTCCAGCACAGCCAAGGAAACAACACAGAATCCCGGGTTAGGTCGCGCAAGGGATGAGAAAGCGGCGCACCATCTGCATCTTTTCTCTGTTTTTCTTCCACAGAAAACAGCGGCGGTGCCTAGTCCGTATCGGAATCAAGAGGGGAGGAGCTTTGTTGTCCATCAAAGCAGATACAGGGCTCCTGGAATCAAGAAAGCGCCTGGCTGTTTGCAATGGACCACCCATTCTCCCCCTCCCCAGCTCCAGCAATGGTGTGGGGGAGGTCTTAAAGCGCCAGTGCAAATGTTGAAGAAGAGCTGGGAGCCCATTCGCCAGCTGTCAGTGACTGGATTTCCCAAGATAATTATATGAACAATAAATCCTATGTCATTACAAGCTTTTGAATTCATTAATGAATGTCACAAGCATTTAAATTCAATAATGAACACTCTTTGTTTGGAATGGTTGGGGTTATAAGCTAAACCAGCAAACTGCATATTTTGCAGATTTTTTAAAAAACAGAATGCAACAAACACCAGTGGCTGCACAATTAAGTGATATACTGCCATTTGCTGGATATAAGATCACGTTAAAAGACCCATTGATTGTCTGCCTGAATTTCCTTTAAATGAATGGCATTCAATAACCGATGCAGGAGAGCTCTTCAAAGCTCATTCCCACTATGGCCTTTGTTCTCCAAATGGAGTATACTAAGAGTCTCTCCATATACCCTTTCCTAAATTTCAGGAGTTTTGCAGCCAGTGCACAAAACAGAATAAACCATGACATCACAAAGGAAATTTTTAAGCCTCTGGAGTCAAAGGTTAGGAGGAGCAAGGTTAAAAAGAGTTTTATGAGCAAGAACCTGGTCCCTGATGTTCCCAACAAACAGCTTCCATAGTGGAGACAACTAAGATGTTAGGGAAGGGGTCAGGTCAAGGAGATTCATGGACTTCCTGGAAAAGATGAAAGAAATCTATGAATAGAAGTATTTTCTCTCCCCTAAAGGTAGACAATGCCTTCTGAATGTTGTCATGGTAGACTTCAGTGAAGAGGTAGATGAGGCACACTGCTGTTGAAAAAGTGGTGTCCTCTGTTTTATGTGCTTGCATTGGAAGCACCTGGATTTGCTCCTAGTGGCATCATGTGTGGATGAGAAGCTGGGCACCTCCCGTGTGTGAGATTTCACAGTAGAAATGAAACAGACAGAATGTGTTTACGGTGATGGTCCTTCTCCAGGAGTACTGTGCAGATAATATAGGGCAATGATCACAGGTTGTTCGTATTGCATTTGTTATTCTGTTAGCTAGATTGGTCTTCACTGTCCAGAGGAGTATTTGTGACTAAAACCTGGTTTTGAAACACGGTCCATGGCTTTAAACGCAAGCATCTGGGAATACTGGCAATCACTGCTGCTCCACTGCCTCTGGAGTGAGCTGCTTGCTATGTGCAGAGACATGCTCTCTGGCACGGACAAAGTTTGTTTTGACCAAGGTACAATCTTTTGGGCATTTGGGGACATAAAAAATGTGCACCACCATATGTTCCATGGCAAAGACGTCCACCTCATTTTAACATTAAACTTATAGCTTCTATTTTATAGGCAAGCCTCCTTTTCACCACAGCTGTGACTTCCCAATAGTCACATAATGGTGCACTGGGTGGAGTCCCCCTATATACGGAATTGCCATACTAAGTAAGGTGTTGCTCCAATATAGAGCCTTCAGGACCAAGCAATGCTCAACTTCCTTAATTCCCAGTCAATGTTTTTCAAAGAAGTAAGTTCAGATCTCTTCACATCAACAGACAAGAAAGTCTTAACAAGTAAGTGATGACGGAACTGCTGCTTGTTCTACTAACCAAGGAATGTTAATTTCTCTGACTCTAAATATCTCTCTGTGTCACAGGCCCTGGAGAGGGTAGGAATCGTCAACACCTGCATTTCCCACTTCTGCCTGATACATTTCCATGGATCTTTTTACATCCATTTTGACTCCATGAAGGAGCTTGACTCACATGTACACAGGGACTCACAGTTTACAGGTTCCTTTCAAAGCAGTAAAAATCTATTTCCACAGTTATCATCTCACTAATCAACTATTATATAGCAGTCGTTTGGGGATGCAATTTCCCGTTCTTTCCTATGATTTCTATGTAACCTAAACTCACCCTTCTAGTCCACTTGGACTAGTAATGGTCAGGGATTGGCACAGTGCCTGGGCAGAGAGCACAGAACAATTAGCAGCATCCACAAAACTGCTGCAGGGTGGAAGCACCTTGAGATTCTGGACTCAGGCTACATCAAGAGCAATTTTCTTCAGCTCAAGAGTTTGTATTTATATATTACAATACACAAAATCACGATATCAAATACATTCCTTGACTTAGTGATTCTGCCTTTTCTAATGCCTGAGGAAACACATTAAAAAAACTTAAGGATACTATTCTTTATAATGAATGTTCTTATCTTGATAATACCAATGTCTTTATACACTCTTGCTTCTCTTGAATTCACCTGCACATAACATTCAGCTTTGCAATCCTATTTATTTTCAGAATCCATTTAGTCGCAAATAGCACGCATACTGTACAGATATTTCTAACTAGTTATATACAGTCTTGGTTCACAGAGCTACGAATGCTGCATAGCAAGCTAAGTGGCTTTGAAAGATGCAAAGCCACTTGGCTTGGTTTAACCAACACACATGAATTATACTACAGGACACTGTGCTAAACTTCACAGGAAACAGTATTTGATGAGAAGCATTCATATCAGTTCCTAATGCACACTTGTGCCATTTAACTTAATGGAATGGAAAAGAAATTCTGTATTTTAAACCCTTGTCTTTAATGAAATCACAATAAATATTTGGTGCAAAGGAAAACATTTCAACAATAGAAACGGGAGACCTTGTAATTAGGATTTGAGAAGAGTGGGGAGACTGATATCTCACTTCAAAATCTGAAATGTGATTGAGTTTGATTGCTTTAGACTTTTTGGACAGTCAATGACTATTTTCTAGGTTCAAGATTGTAGACAAGCAAGCAAGAGGGAAATTTTAAATGTTGGGGGTCAACATACAGTAAGTTTCATTACATTCTCCCATCCCCCTACACTAAACTCGTTTGTGAAAGGCACCATAAGATCTTGAGTGGGGTCTCTGGGCAGGGATTGTGTATGTTTATTGCTGTCAAATCTCATCCAGTGGCAGATGGCTAGACAGCATGATGTTAGCCAGCTCTTTCCACTCTTTGTCTTCCATTATCTTTACAGAAAAACAAATATGGTAACTTTCTTGCATTGCTCTAGATTAGATGTATTTAATCATAAAGTTTCTGATCTTGGATTCTCCTGTGTTGCTTTGGCTGCATATATGCTCATCTTAATTTTCAAAGTGAGATTTCTTCTTTCCAATCTCAACGTCCTATAATTCAGGGATACTTGTTACAAACTAGAAGACCAGTGTGTTTGGCAGTAAACCCCACAGCATATGAAGCTGTCGCTTGCATTTATTTCAGTGCACAAAGCGCAGCAGGTCCTGGCCCCTTGCAACATATTTTCAAGCACATATGATTTTAATAAGTACAGCCTCCTCAACTGCAAATGTAATGGACACACTAAATGTTCACATTGTTTCAGTAATACGTGAAGGAGCCCTGATTATATTTGGTGAGAGTCTGCCCTGGTTTTGCATATTTTAGAGCCAGATGGCCTACTAATGAAAAGCCTCTGTGCATCATTCTAACTTTTGTTAAAAACACTAAAGAAACTAATGGTTCTGCCTGTACAGATTAAGTGTGGGATCTGGTGCAGCTTTAAGAGTACATCAGCTTAGGGTCATCATATTGTGCTGGAATTGCTAATGCCTATTGACAGGACACACACGGACACACAAACACACCTCTCTTCCGCTGTCTCTTTTGCCCGCCCTATTTTTCTGATCATAGTCATTTTCTCAACAATCTCCCAGACTATGTAATTTTGGGTAGGAAAACGTAGCTAAAACAATTTCCAAGGATCTCAGGGTTCACATGTCAACCATTTCAAGCAAAGCAACATGTATGGCAGTTAAGAAAGCCTAATTATGAATTGATAACAGCAATGCAACCCTTTTGGCATCAGAATAGTAATAATAAACAATAATAATTTAAATCTCAACAACAAATTAAAAGTACAGATGAAATCACTAATCAGTTATCGATGAATTAACATCATCATCATCATCATCATTATTACATTTATAAGGCTGCCCTATAGCAGTTTTCTGGGTGGCTCACAAACCAAACCAAGCAGAATACAGCATATTAAAAACCTATGATGAATTAATTAAAAGTTGATGCACAATTTACAACTCAAGGTATAAAATAAAAGCAAGCTACATACAAAATATCAATTACTGTTGTGAATGTGTATATATATTTCCCACACAGCCGAAAGGTTAGGTACCACATTGCTCTAAAACATGTTCGGATATCAGATGCCAAATACTAAATGCCAAATTAACCAGGTACAAAGACTCAAAACCAGTTCACTGAAATGATGGCCCTGAAAGCTATTCACAAACTATCAGGGGTGAGAACTGGCCTGGAGCCAGACGCTTTCTGGCAACCTCTCCTTTACTCTTGCAATCTCTGGGCTTCCTGGTCCTTCTTCCAGCACCCTCTCCACATAAAGCCGCAGTTTATCACTGTACCCTAAAACAACTTCCTGCCTATAGCATCTAATTGTGTAGCAGAATGCACCCTGAGCATGTATCTACACTGCAGATTCAAACTGGTGCAGCAATCATTCCCAAGGAATTATAGGAATTGTGCTTCTGGCTCAGTTCTCAATGAGGTTGTACACCTGAGTCAGGGCTGTACCACTTCAGACTGCAGGTGGGGACTCAAGATGGCTGTATGCTCCTCCATGCCAGCCACCCCAAGGTTAGAATCCATCTTCCTGACATCTAGCTTTGACAGAGCTCTGAATTCTTTGTACGCAGGAACATTCAAAGATGTGGGTTTCATCTGCAATCTGAAATGGTACAGCCTAGAAACAGATTAACCATCTTGGTGAGAACTGGGCCTCTGTGAGGAAATCTTACAAACAAGACACACAAAGTGCTCTCTTCAGAGTGAAAATGTTCATGAATATTTCAAAGGAAACTAGCATGTACATACAATCCCAGCAATTAACATATTCACTGCCAGCCTTCTGCTGTTACACAATAACAAGATAAAATGAGTGTCACACGAGTGCTACCTAATATTATCAGTGATCAGAATATGAGAGGAGCCTGGGAAGGAAGGGAATTTGATGCCTCCTGGGCAGTTTGCCTATGCCTGGTATTTTAGGGGGGAAGACTGTTGGACAGAATGGGGATGGGGTGCAAGACAACAACATTTAAGTCAAGCTGAAAGTAGCCTGCCACTTGTGATTCCCAAAAGAAAGCTGAAGCCTGAAACTTTAGGTAAAACCTTGAGACTCAGAAACCCTAAAGCACAATAGCTTTGTGCAGCTGGTGGAAGAGTCAGAAAAAGCTCACCTATGTAGGTGTTGACCGGTGTGCTTTGTAGGCATTGTGAGAAAGAACCTGGCTATTGTTGTTGTTATTACTCCTCCTTCTCCTCTCTACACAGTAGCTTTTCTGGATTGCAGGCAAAATCTCTAGTTAATATTCACTTTCATACAATAACATATTGCATTATCTTTTCACTTATTGACTTTTGATATGAACTCTATGATGGGGCTGCCTATGTTTTCCTGGACATTCAACAGGGAACACATTATCTTAGTAGCGTAGCATCTCTACTATCTCCCACCTGATCAGGGACAACATGGGGGGGGGAGCTGAGCCCCTCCAATTAAGCAGGGGACTGGGCCCCCTCAATTTTATGCGGCCTGCAAGCCATCAGAAGGCAATCCTGTATAGGGAAGGGAAGTTTTTTATATATGTTGGAAGCTGCCCAGAGTGGCTGGGGCAACTCAGTAAGATGTGTGGATATACCGTATTTTTCGCTCTATAAGACGCACCAGACCACAAGATGCACCTAGTTTTTGGGGGAGGAAAACAAGAAACAAAATATTTTGAATCTCAGAAGCCAGAACAGCAAGAGGGATCGCTGCGCAGTAAAAGCAGCAATCCCTCTTGCTGTTCTGGCTTCTGGGATAGCTGCGCAGCCTGCATTCGCTCCATAAGACGCACACACATTCCCCCTTACTTTTTAGGAGGGAAGAAGTGAGTCTTATAGAGCAAAAAATATGGTAAATAGTAAAATTATCATTATGGAATGGGACGTCCCTATTTTCATTGGAGAAATGTTGGTATGACAGAATGCCCAAGCCTCTTTGCATACTTTTCACATTTTGCACTTGCTATAGGGTGGGGTATTCTTTAACATCTACCCACACTTATTGTGTAATAATATTTACAGAAAATAACTTATAGTGAGTACCTGATCTTAGACCAACTTACCACAGGAAAGATGCATCCTGTTTTGTAGAAAGAACAGATTGGCTAAATAACAGAAATTCCAGGGACTAGAAAATGAAACAAGCGGGGCAGAAAAGTGCACTGGATGGAAGAGGGAAATGGCAGCTCTTTAAGACACCAGTTATTCTATAGCCTGGTGTCCAAACAACTTACTCATCAACCACAGCTCAGACGTCACTCATTTGCTAAAAACACTGAAAGGTGGGGATAGCTGGGCTGGCTCACTCACTTAGAAGGGTACTCACACATTTTGCTTGATAACTTCATTTCTAGAAGGGCTAGGCTCTTACGTTTTTTAAATGAAAACTCAAAGTCTGGGTCCTCTGACAAGCATAGGCCCCAGAGCAATACCCGCAACCCCCTCGATTTCTTAAAATAACAAGCACAGGGCCCTTCATTGGGAACAGAAGCACCAAACCAAGTGGCAACAGCTGCCACCTTCTCCAACGGTCCCAGGGCCTCTGGGCCTCACTTCAACATAGTGGTGCTATATTGGGGCCCAGAAGCACTGAGGGGAAATGAAAATGGCATTTCTCAGCATCAGGGCAAGGGAGCACCATCTCTCCTCACCATCCTCATGCTGCTGCCCATCCTTGCCACCACCTGCTGCGGCCTCCAGGTAAACTAATTTGGGGGTGCACACCTGGTGGCTGGTCCTGTGTGTAGGCCTCCTTCTGAAAGGCAGCCATGCGCAGGCTCTTTCCCAGAAGTCTCTTTTGTATAGAAGAGCATCTTCCCTGGAAGGCTGCTGCCATTGCTTCCATAGAAAGTGCCATTTCCCCCTACCAAATTAGTCTGAATGAGAAGCCATCAGAGCCCTGTTCTAATGTCTCTTCTTCTTCTGCTACTCCTACTCCTACCCCTACTCCTACTCATGTTTGGCTACATAGAGAATAGGTTCAATTCCACCATACACATAAGGAAAAGGAATAAGTCTTACATTTCCACCCCATCATAGATGAATATCAAACAGACATACATCAGAGGCTAGGCCCCCAAGGAAATGTTGAAGGTGATCTCCCTTTAGCGTCTTGAAGAAGCACCCAAGTCAAAAGGCCTCCCAATACTTATCCAACCCATTATTTACACAGCATTACTGTTTCCTTGAGTATGATTTTTTGTAAAACATAAACTTACTGGGAGCTATCATTCTTCAGAGGCAATGACTATGCAACCCAACAACAGCTGACCACATTGATCTGACCCAGAGCAGAAAGAACAAACCACCCAACTCCATGTAATGTAGGAAGGAAACAACACATGCACAGGAGTTAAACAGGCGGGGCTCTTAATCATGCTATTAAATGACACAGCACTAGATGGAGACAGAAAACAGGAAAAAGAATGTGTTCTACAGGAACTACCCTGTTTCTGGGTAGAAAGACATTGAGTGGTCTGCCTTTAAGTCAACTTAAGCTCAGAGCTGGGATTTCCCAACTTTGTTGGAGAAGGACAACAAGCATACATTACCTCAGAGGACACCAGAAGCCTCTTATTTGTGCTTATTAGCTGGTTATATATTGCAGGGTCACATCTTGTGATAGTGCTCTGGCGGCTCCCCATAGGGCTGGGAGCAAAGGGCATTTTGTACAGAAGTTCACTCTGGCGAGAGTCCGTGGTGAGGACCTGCTGGTAGAAGTTTGGAGGAGTAAATCCACTCCGCACAGTGTCTATGTGGTTGAAAGGCCCCGGGGTTCTATAAAGGGAGCTTCTGGAGGCTTTGAATATATCCTTGGATTGCCTCCACTTGTAAAATTTATAAATCCCCACCCCAACCACGGTGACAAAGAAGGCCACTGAGATCAAGATGACAGCAATGATTAAATAGAAAGTCAAGTGCTTCTTTGTTTGGGGTGTAGTGGACACAGCAGTCAAGTCTGTCAGTGTCTCCCTAGATGTCTCTGCTACATCTACAGCAAGGGTCACTGTGGAGGACAAGGCAGGCTCCCCATTGTCTTTTATTAAGATGAGCAATGTTTGCTTGCGAGAATCTTCCTCTTGCAGAGAACGAGCTGTGCTTATCTCCCCAGAATGCAGCCCCACAGTGAACAGCCCTGGGTCAGTGACCTGAAGGAAGGAATACGAGAGCCAGGCATTGTAACCAGAATCTGCATCCCAGGCCACAATTTTTGTGACCATGTAACCAGGGCTGACTGTGGGTGAGATGACTTCTGAGAGCGAAGAACTGTTGTTTGAGTTCGGGTATAAGAGCCTGGGTGCATTGTCATTCTGATCTGTGACAAAAACATTGACAGTGATGTTAGTGGCGAGAGGCGGGAGGCCAGCATCACGAACCTGGACCACTAGCCTGAACTCCATGGTGCCCTCATGGTCCAAGGGGACTAGGACATATATGCTGCCATTTTCCCGGTTAATAGAAAAATACCTGCCCGCCAAGTCTCCCGAGGACATGGGACTATCCAGGATGGAGTAGGAAAGGTGGGAATTCCGGTTCAGATCCGGGTCAGAGGCACTGATGTTAAAGATCAGGGTCCCTGGAAGGTTGTTTTCCTCCACATACACATCATAGGAGGATTGTGGAAATTTAGGAGGGTTGTCATTTACATCAGATACTTTAACCAGTATTTGCTTTTCTGCCATGAGTGAGGGTGTGCCTGCATCCTGAGCTGTGATGGTGATGTTGTACTCAGAGACAAGTTCCCTGTCCAAGGGTCCTTTGGTCTGTAAGGTATAATAGTTTTTAAGGGAAGAGCTGAGGGCAAAAGGGATCCCAGAAGGTATAAAGCAATTTACTAGGCCATTATCACCAGAGTCCTGATCCGTGACACTCAGCAAAGCAATCACAGTCCCTGGAGCCGCGTCTTCTGGTATTGGGCTGTACACCGACGTCACTGTTATTTCTGGGGTGTTGTCGTTCACATCCACAATCTCTACCAGCACTTTGCAATGAGCGACACCAGGATTTGAACCCTTATCTTTTGCCTGGATATAAATCTCATAAAATTTGGCTTCTTCAAAATCCAGCAACCCCTTCAGCCTCAGTTCTCCAGTGGCAGAGTCTAGGGCAAAGAGCTGTCGGACTCTGGCAGGGGTGTGACTGCTGAAAGAGTACACAATCTCCCCATTGGGGCCTTCATCCAGGTCGAAAGCTCTGGTTTGGACAACCAGGGTGTTCAAGGGTGTGTCTTCTTTCACGCTGGCTCTGTAGATGGACTGGTTGAAGACAGGGGCGTTGTCATTTGCATCCAGGACGTCAACCAGCACCTGCAAGCTGGCCGATCGGGGTGGGGTCCCTCCATCCATCGCCGTGAGAACCAGCTGCACTTCCCGCTGCTGCTCCCGGTCCAGCTCTTTCTCCAGCACCAGCTCCGCATACTTCGTCCCGTCGCCTCGCGTCTGCACGTCCAGCACGAAGTGCGGGTTGGCGCTGAGCTGGTAGGTCTGCAGAGAGTTGCTTCCCACGTCGGGGTCCTGCGCGCTCTCCAAGGGGAAACGCGCTCCGGGGGTCACCGACTCGCTGATCTCCAGCTTCATTTGCTTGCTCTGGAAAGCCGGGTCGTTGTCGTTGACGTCCTGGATCTCCACGGTCACGCCGTACAGCACCAGCGGGCTCTCGGCCACCACCTCCAGGCTCAGCGCGCACGGCGAGAGGGCCCCGCAAAGTTCCTCGCGGTCGATGCGCTCGCTCACCAGCAACTTCCCGCTGCCCAGGTCCACCTCGAAGTACTTTCGTCCGCCGCCCGACACCACGCGGAGGTTCCTCGCGGGCAGCTGGGCCAGATCCAGTCCCAGGTCGCCCACCACGTTGCCCACCGAAGAGCCCCTGGGCATCTCCTCGGGGATGGCGTAGCGCGTGGCGGCGAGCGCCCGCTCCGAGACGCCCAGCCACAGCCAGAAGCCCACGACGGGCAGCCATCGCGCTCTCGGCCGGCTCCTTCCCGCGGCGCCTCTCATCTCCCGGCCTCGCAAAGTTTCTTTCTTTTTGCGGGAGCGGCGGGGAGGTCCCTCTAAAAGTTCTCAGCCGTCCCTTCCATGCGGCCGCGACCCTGCCCGGTCCAGGCTCGCCTCGCGCGGACTTTGGGGGTCGGGCATTGCTCGGCGGCGCGGCGCTCCGGCGGCGGGACTGCGCTCCGTCTGTTGCTGGCGCTCAACTCGCGGCGGCGGCGGCGGCGGCGTCCCACTTCGCGCTGCTTCGCCGCCAGCATCGCCGGGTCAACAGCGGCGCGCAGAGTCGCGACCATTAACTGCAGGAGAGGCCGCTCCCGCTCCGCCTCCCCGGCTCGCCGCCGGGACTCCGAGGCACGAGGCGCACGGCTCCATCCAAGCTGGGCCGGCGGGGCCCGGTGACTTCTTTTTTGGGGGGTGGGGCGGGGGTGTTCCTCGGTGAAAGGCTTGTGGAGGCTGCCCCCTAGGCTGCCCAGCCCTCCCCGCTCTGCCGCCGCGAGAAGGAGCGAAGGGAAGCGCGGACCGAGGAGGCAGCAAGGGCTCATTGTTCTCGCTGGGGAGCGTGGAGGAAGGGCTGGACCCCGGACGCTTCCCAGGGATCGGGAGAGAGATGCCTGCCTGCCTCCGGTGCCTCCGCCTCTGGCTCCCTCGCTTACGCTCTCCCGGCGTGGCGGCTCTGTGGGGCAGGCCAGTGCTCCCCATGCACGGCACTGCTCAGGGAGAACCCACAAGCCCCCCAAGGCGGTGTAAGCTTCCCCTCTCCCTCTGCTCCCCAATCTGCTGCCCAAAGGGAAAGGGGTGAGCTGGAAGAGGGCAGGTTATTTTATTATGATTTTGTTACAGGAATTTCTATACTAACCTTCATTGGAAACCCCCAGGATAGCTTGTGTGTGTGCGTGTGCATGGATTAAAGTACAGACAATATACAGCAGAACTGTAATAAAAGCCAGGGATCTTATGCAAGCAGGCAAAGAATCCACAGGGCTAAAATCAGCTCTAAAAGGGCTGGGGAAATGGAAAAGTCTACCTAGTGCTGGAAGGCTGACAAAATAGGTACCAAGTGGACCCCTCTACAGATTGCACTTCACAACTGAGGCACCACCACTGAGAAGGCCCTTTCTTTGGGGAGCAGCTGACTTGTTTCAGTTTGTGGGGCCGCCCCCAGAAGACGTTTTGTTGAAGTTCTGAATGTCTCGGCTGACACATAAAGTATCCTGGGTCCTAAGCTGGAAAAGGCTTTAAAAGTCAAAGCCAGCACTTGGGTTCAGAAATTGGAAGCTAATGCAACGGGCATATAGCACCAATGTTACATTATCCTAATAAGCCTACCTCAGTTGGTGATCCAGCAGCTGCATTCTGAACTCGCAGCAATTTCCAAGCCATATTTCAGAGGCAACCCCACAGAGAGTATATCACAGTAGTCTAACCTGGTACAGCATAATCAATCACAAGTCACGGCACACACACACCATTTCAATGGCAATGCCTATGAACTTTTTTGGGGGGGCCCAGTTCCCTCAAATATTTTAGGGGAGCCTAAGGGACCTCAGTCCCTAGTAGTTGGCTCCTACGAACTTGGAAGTTATCAGAGTACAGATCATTGATGCTAAGCTAAACTTACAATTGCTGCTTGCTCTCAACTCTCTGCTACACTGGCCAGAGACAGAAGGTGAGGGGACCTGGGGAAGTAGTGTCTGCTCCTCTCACTTGCCTTTGCTCTCACCATAGGTGGTGGGGTTTGGCTCCACAGGGAGAGCACAGGCAAAGTGCAGAAGCAACCATTACTCTGCACCAAAGCTTGCTTAGCTCTCTCTCTCTCTCTTAGGAGTATGGCAAGAAGGTTTAGGCCAGTGATCATAACAAGGAGAAGCCACTGCTGCTTCAGTTTGCTCACCTGCAAACCCCACCCTAGAAGAGAATGAGTGGGAGCCAGGGCATGAGACAGTCTAAAGAAGTCACCTCAGGTGGTGGAATCCCTGCAGAGACGCCCCCCCCCCCGTTGCCACCAGACTAGTGAGGAGAAGTGGCGGCAGTGTCTTCCAAGTTCCAGTGAGGTATCGCAAGAGCCCACAGACGCCTCCGGAGGCCTTCTCATGGGGCTCTCCCTAGAGCAGTGCCAGATTAGGGCAGTGCAAGCAGTTCTCTTGTACAGGGCTCTGAGCCAAGAGGGTGCAAAATAATAATAATAATAATAATAATAATAATAATAATAATAATACATTTATTTATATGGCTTCCTACTAAGAAGATCAGTAAAAAATACAAAAAGGAATTATTGTGAAGATAAGAAATATTTTTTTCTTGGGGGTGGGGTGGACAGACACCCCCCAAATTTTGTACTTGCTCAGGGCACCATATTATCAAAGTCCGCCCCTGGCTGGAACCCAGAAGCCACATCTACACAACCCCATAAGTGAGCCTTGGGTGGGGGCAGCAGGTGGCACATATGTAGGGGCAAAATGAGATGGGCCACCTCTGGTGGGGGCCTGTACTTGCTTGCTTACCCTTCCTCTTGATCTAGATGGCACAATGGGGAGGATTGGCTCCAGTCTCCAGCACTGCACCATCCCACAGTGCAGGGGAGTTAATGAGAGGAAGAGGAGGCTGCTTCTGATATGAGCAACCACTTGCACATTTCTGCTCTGAGTCTGGACACTGTGAAGACTGGGGCAGCCAAGCTGCACCAGCTAGAGACTGTAAGTAGACAGAGAGCTGTTCTTCTCAGACAAGTGGGGTCAGAAGAGCCAAGTCTCAGGATACTTCCTTTTCTTTCCCTGTGTTGCTGATAGAACAAGTAGCTTCAGTCTAGGTTTGTGACCATGGGACAGGAATAGTAGCTATTCCAGATGAATGAACCTGAAGTAAAAAGGATGCAAATTTGGTGTTATATGATGCAAACCATTAAACAGTGTTGGGAGGTACAGTGTTACCTCGGGTTAATAACTTAATTCGTTCTGGAGGTCCATTCTTAGCCTGAAACTGTTCTTAACCTGAAGCACCACTTTAGCTAATGGGGCCTCCTGCTGCTGCCACGCTGCCAGAGCACGATTTCTGTTCTCATCCTGAAGCAAAGTTCTTAACCCGAGGTACTATTTCTGGGTTAGCGGAGTCTGTAACCTGAAGCGTCTGTAACCTGAAGCGTATGTAACCCGAGGTACCACTGTACACTGATGTACAGCAATTTCTAGGATGGAGCAGTGCTTAAGCTGAGCCCTTCCCTTCTTCAGCTGCAGCTAAATCATAGATTTACCCTCCAACGGGTTGAGCAACAGTCTCAAAGCGTTGCTCTTGCCTCTGCTTGCCCCTACCTGCTCACTCCTGCATCTCTACCCACCCTGTTCAACTGGCCAGCACTCAAGGCAACTGATCACCTTCCTATCCTGCTTCCCTGCCAATGGGAGTTCTTAGCAGCTGGTATTGGAAACATTATACACATCCCATTTATGATCACAGGTAGCTGTTTCCATTATGCAACAGTAGAGTGCCTATCAGTTAAATAATTGCTGGAATATGTAAAACTGGCTGACAGTGTATCAGACCATTAGCCCATCATTGACTACTCCAACAGGCAGCAAGTCAAAGACCTTGGGAGAACATCTTTCATAGAATCATAGAATCAAAGAATTGTAGAGCTGGAAGGGACCAAAATGGTCATCTAGTCCAACCCCCTGCAAAGCAGGAGCCACAACAACCTCTTTAGCTGGCAGTGGGAGGAATACGAATTGAGGACCTTCTATATAAAAAGCACCAAAGATCCCATATTTCTTCCTATCCACCAGCAGGAAAACCAGGAAAGTTGTACTTTGGTCAGATGAAATGTCTATTCAGGGATGCTTTTTTATAGCCTCAAAGAAAGCAAGTTTGTACTTGCTTAATGCGATACTCTTCCAAATCCCACTTTAACAGAAATTCCCACCAAAGGCCTAACTTCTAAAGAACAAAATTAAATGGCCAGAAAATGGCATGGGCATTAATGCCAATGTTAAATACAGGAATGGAGAAGCTTCTTCATAAACATTAATAGTGCAGAAAATGGAGCTGAAAGACAGATTATTTGAAGTGCAGCAATTTCATAAGGCACATCGAAGGATGGACAGTTCAAAGATATAAAGTCTGAAAATCAATTGAGGCTGCACCATGTTAATGGTGTAAAAGAGCTTGTGTCTGTGGGCATGCCACACCACACTGGACAGTACCAGAATGACTGTTATTTTCACATCTTCTCCCTTTTTAAACATTCTCTCACTCTCTTCTTCTGCTTTAAACAACAAACAAAAAACTGTCCACCTTCTGACCCAAATAAGAACCCCCAAGGTGGCATACACTTAAAAGGATGAAATGTACACCCAGCCTAATACAACAGAGAGAGCACAGAAAGCACGTGAAAAGAACAGAATGGTGCAGCAGGGGGTAAATATTCAGCACAGAGGAAATGTTAATGCTAACAGCTCGGCTATCCAAGTTCCATGACAAGGCAAAAATGTTACTTTCCCCCCACAAGGCCACTAGATAAGACTTTTTGCAGCGGATGTGCTTCTATGTACCCCAGCCTGTTGATTCTGAATTGAAGGTCAACAACAATGGAAAAAAATAGCAAGCAATAGTGATAGCATATGACTAGCCAAACTGAGAATTCAATGGGAGATCTGTGATTGGATCACCCCATACACTTTGCTTTTCCTAGTCTGGATCAGTGCCACAGAATGGGAGCAAGACCTAAAAATCTTTATTGTGGCCTTATGGCTCTACTCAAACTTGCCTTCCTGGAACTGCTGTATTATGACAGCATGCTTTCCCCCTCTTTGGTTACTGGCAGCTTGGCTACTGGCCCTGATCCAAATGTCCCCACCCCACCCCCGCTGACCTAGGCCAGTAAATTTATTGGTGACAACCAGTCACACTCCTATCACACTGCGAGCAAACACTAAGCATCTGATTCCCATCACCACTGCAGCGAGTTCTATGCAGGCCTATCCTTAAAGCCACAGCAGAACCATGTGGCTTGTCTC